AACAAGTGAAGTTGCAATTGGAGTTGCAATTGACACAACGATTTTTTTTCAATTCTGTATAGAAAGAACATCAGCATCAAGACATAACATGACAAAGGTCCACGATATCAGCATGTTGAATGTCCTTTTTGTCAGCATTCGGACATTTTTAATAAGGCATAATAATACGTATGGCAACTCTATCTTAATCAATGAGTCTATGATGATAATTTCCTATCTTTATCCTCGAAAGTTAGTGGTCCTGAGACAACATGTTTCTGTTGGACCATGTAACGGCGATGTGTTGACTCAGGACCTCTGGCCTACGAGATGTCTCATCCGTTAAACATAGAATTTATTTATTTTTTAGATCACACCGAAAATTTGAAATTCTTCAAAATACTAAAATGATAATATTTTTGCAGTCTATTTGATACTTTCTATCAATTTAAAAAGGGGTCATTTTCTTTAACGGTGGTAAATGTCAGGACGCACGTATAAAATATTGACTCCTGGGCTTTTTTGCTACAAAAAATATTTTTTTCTACGACTGAGGGGTCATTTTTGTCGCTGAAAAATGACCCTCGATCATAAATCGATAAGGGTCTATATTCGTCTTTACATCGGTCCCTAACCATGTGTGTTGTTGCGTTTTCCTCTGGACACAAGATTCATTTTGCCACAGTTGTGGCATTCTTTATAAAAAATGAATGACAATCATTTTTCCCATGAAAAGGATAGAGGAGGAAGGGTTTATTGCAAAGTACAAACTGTCTCAATCCATATGAAACTCGCCTCCCTGCCTCACATGAATTTTCGTCCGTTTGGTGTTTTGCAAGTGCGGTGGCATCTTCCTTCTTTCCTTTGTGTTGTGTTTTCAAAGTTATTCAAGCTCGCTTTTCTTTTCTGTTAAACTTTTTATATTCACAATTGAAAAGTTTTGATGGTTTATTAATTATGACGCAATTTTCTTTTTGAAATATTTTTTTTTAATGCAACAACAATACATTGATTTATGTGTGCAAAGAAAGATGAATTTTTGCAAAAGAATTTTGCCGAGTCTTATATTTTTACCATGCAAGTTTATTTTTATAGCAAGAACAGTCAATTTGTCAGAAATGACCAAATATGGGGAATTTGATGGTTGAATAAGGATACTTTAGTATCTCTTTCAAAAAAGAACATGGTGACCATCACAACCCGAGTCCTCTGTCTAAGGAACGTCGTTTATTCAAAGTGGATATATTTATAGATGCCTTCTTTCTATCATATTTAGCCAGTTAAAGTCTTCATTGAACGATATCTTGGTGATTTAGTAACAATATTATTGTAAAGATATTCAGCCATTTTCTAGTTGTAACTTAACAATCCTTTAAATCAAATTGCCTAACGACACGTCTCTTCCCCAGCTTGCTTTAGCTTGGATACACAACAAATGTCATTTTTAACCACCTCCCTCCCTGCACAAAACAATCAGTCCAATTTATGATTAACGTCTGGAAAGTATATTGTCTTCTAAATCTGGTACAAATTATTAAAAGATACTTGAAATAATGTCCAAGTTATACATTAAACTTTTCAGCCATTCCCTACTCGAGTAAGACCATTTTTCGTGACCAGTCACCTTCATATTGACGTCATGTTTACATTGTGACGTCACAATGATGGAGACAATTATTACTTTTTCGTAAATATTATGGTAGTCATAGATTATGTGCATGGCAATACAAGATTTGAAAAATTCGCGCACTCAGAAAACTTCCCTTTAGTATGACGTTAGACGAGGAAGCTCTAATCTCTTAACATGAGTTCATGTAAGTTCATGATATCTTCATCTTCACCCGAATGGCTAAGTAATATGCGGTATAAAACCATATCTGTTTTTGAAGCTTTAAAACATTTTGAAAATACTCTTAACCTAACTGCCATGTGTAAAGTGGAAACGTTGGTAAAGAATCATGTTCTTTCATATATGTACATGTGTTGGCCTATATATACCATATTTTAATCTCAAAGGCACTTTTTTCTATAATAAATATTTCACCCATAGTTTAATTATATTATTTATTATTATCGCTAATAAGAAGTCTCTAATAAAATACTACCAAAAATCTAGAGAATTTTAACTTTCAATATCTTGACGTTTTATTGAACGCTAACTTTGTATTACGAATATGAGTATGCCCGAAACATTCCGAATACGAGCGTTCAATATCGAAGGCCCCTCTGTAAACAAAAAAAGGCGTCTGGTCAAATTCTTAGAGCTAAATTAAAGAAAGGAAGTGGCATGTAGGTAAGATGTGTTTTTTTTCACACAACAATGAAATTATTTATTAAAAAATAGTACGTATTAGACCCATTAAAAACTGAATAAGCAAATCATATCTTTCGGTAGGGTCATCGGAATGATACGATATTGAACGCTAACGGGACAAACGTTAATTTGTATACCGATACTAAAAATCATTAATTTGAGAAGTTTTTCAGTTGGAATAATTATTATAAATTTTGTGGAAATGTTTTAGTTATATAATAAAGGAGTTATTGAATTTATATTGGCGAATATTGGGGCTCGTTGTCTGTTCAAATGCACTCGCAAGCTCGTGCATTTGATTTGCCAACTCGTGCCAATATTCACCGACATAAGTTCAATAACCCTATATAATCATATACTTGGTAGTAAATACACCGATTCTGCACGGTGTGATACGGGTGACGTCACTAGAATTGGCTCCATTAGATTTTAAAGAAAACTGTCACTAACAAGCACAAACATTCTTCAACGACCCTATTTGAACTTGCATATTAAGTATTTTAAATACATGATAAATAGAATACTACATACTTAAATCCATATCATATGTCACATCAGCCCTCGGGCTGATATGGGGCCACTCGGGCTGATATAACATATGATATGGATTTTAGTAATATTCTCTATTGATATACGCTATAAAATGGGAGGGTGTTCCTTACAAAAATATTAGTCTTGAGTTTTCGAACTAAATACAGCAAGGATACTAAGCCATTATTGACAGTAAATGTCTGTAGGGTATTCCAAATAAATATATGACGGTTGTCTTTAATAAAACATTGAACATTTTGCGTATATTGGTTGCAGACAATTGTGTTCATTGCTTGTATCTAGAGCTCCCGTAAGTAACTGCATTTTCCCAAAAAATTCAATTAAATTACATTGCATTTTTCAATAAAAGCCTTCGAGAAAATTCCCATATTCAAGGAAGAAAAAGATTTCGATTGATCTACCAATTTATTTTCATATTCATGTTCATATTCTTTTTGACATTTTTTCAGATTTCAGATTTTCAGATTATGGGAAAATATTTGGAATTGAGCGACTATGGTTTTGATTGACAGGTAAAGTATACATTAGGAAAAATATCAAAATTTCTGTCAACGGTCTAAAACCACGAGGAAAATGGGGTGAAATAATTATTTTGTGTGCGTATAGTTAATAAGTTTTGCTTGAAAGTTATTTATTCCAGACCGTCCTGGTGTAACAGCCAAAAATAATGTAGTACCGCGCAAGCTGATTGGAAAGAATAAGTTGAAAATACAATAAGGATGATTGAAAACAGGATATCTGATGATATAAACAACCCTTTTCAATATGTTTTTCCACGAAATGCATGTATTTTCCTGACGATTGGGCATGTTCCGAAGTCATGATGTGGAAGAAATTTTCTGAAGAAGTAAAGTGCTACTTCTCCAGCTTTCAGTCTTCGTAATAAAATCTTGTTTTTTTTCACTTTTTTCTGCATTTTTAGTATTTTTTTTGGTCACATATTTACATTTTGAACATTTCATTTGTTCTGCAAACGTAACAAAGTCAAGGTTCTGGATCATTTACTGTGATTTTTGTACAATATGTTCATAAGGTCCTTACTAAAATGATTGCACAGGTTTCATTCAATTTCTGACAATTTTTAACGTTTCTGGTTTATTAAATAACACAAATCCCGGTATATCATCTAAAGTTTATATTGAACATCAGGAGCAGCTAACATTGTCCAGTAGCTCCACTAATACCAGCGATTGATCCATGATTTATAATGTTTTAAGGAAATAATTAAATTATATTTATAAAAAGATTTTGTTGAATATAACAGGGGTATAATGGCTATAGATCGTAGTTTTTTAAGTAAACAAAAAAATAACATCACTACCTAAAAGTGTTTTCCTAAATAAAGGGACGACTATTTGGCTCTCAAGCCGGAGGGGGGAGGAGGCTGGCATATCTAGAGAATAAATAATCTGTCATCGACTTGATGCGTGATAAATAATCTGCCCCTGATCAGTGCTACCCCCCCCCCCCCCCCCCCCAACCACACACACACGAATTAGAGTTCAAGACTTTAATGGGGTTTCTTTTTTTTCTTTTTTTTTGTTCTTTTTTTTTTTTTTTTTGCTTGTCGGTTTTTTTTTAGTGAAAAAAAAAATGTCCTTGATCTTATCATGCTTATTGGAAATTCAATAAACAGTCCTCAACACTGACATGATAATAAATAACCTGACTCTTAAAAATTGGCCAGCACCCGCCTTTCCCCTAAGAATCAAAATTTATGGTCATTCCCTAATGATTAGCGCACGTATGTAAGCATGTTTACAATATTAACTCACGTTAAGTACATCGGAAATGTATATAATAACGCAAGTTTTCTGACACAAAAAAAAAAAATAAAACTTAAGACAAAGTATAGTTTACTTTCAACTATTTTTTGGATATTGTGCATTTGGTCATGTGTGAATCTAACGTTAATCCTCGATTTACGTCACCAATATATAAGGTAGGTAACTATCCCGCAAGACTGCGCGACATTTTGGAATCGTGTATAGGTATGTCAAATTTCAATCTTATCTGAATCTTATTTTAGATATAAAGATATATTTAACTGTTTGATCGTCCATCGTACATGATAAATGTAATTTTAAAAAAAGCATGTCATACATGTACAAACACCTTTTCGCAGTATTTAAAAGAAGACAAATCCATCAAGAAGTACGTATAACACCATTCATTCGAAAAATAAAAGTTGAAATTTAAAAAAACATTACTTGCTACCTAATCTAAAGGGCATGCAAAAGAAGCCCAGAAAATGTATTTGCTTGGTGTTTCAACACTTCCCCAGTCGAGCAATCTTTACTTGCCCTAAGCCAGACCTTGTCTCCTTTTACCAAAGATAATACTACAAAAGAGCTGCCATTTTCTTCGTTCCTAGAGAATGTAATAGCTTGATAAGTAGAGCCATTCTTGGTCAACTTAATCAAAGCAAACTTGTCCTTCTCAGCGAAGATATTATAGAAAAATACATATATTCCATTCTTTGGACACTGAAATACCCCGGTGTTTTGGTCATAAGCATTTCCTTGATTTGAGATTATATGTCCGAAATTTTTTTTTATGCTTCTTTATGTCACTAATAGCTTTCTTGTAGAATGTTTGAGCGGTAAAAGCGATGTCTCCTGTAAAAAAAATCAAAACTTAATATAAACATTTTAATGTATCTTCACGAAAAAGCAAATAACTCAAATGCACAATTATGATCTCTCTCTCTCTCTCTCTCTCTCTCTCTCCTTACTTTCAGTTTTTTTTTTTTCAAGTATCTCCAGCTTTGTTTGATAGCGCTGCAAGGTACTGTGTTGAAGATTTTGTTTCTTCTCTATTTTTGAAATCATACTGGTACATTGGACCATTTTGTTTTCAAGATCTATAGATAGAATGTAAGATTTTCAGCTTCAAGGCGTAGATTTGATTTAATTTCTGCTAAAACAGCTTGACTGATATTTATGGCGTGTCTTGCATCAAATACAATATATATATAATTTGTTCAGCAAGAAAATGTACTTACATGTTTAATACACATGCATATTTAAGACATACAAGTAGCATCAATTCCACATTCATTAAAACTCAGATTGAAACTTTTCCTTTTTTACTCCAAAAGGGAGAATGTTCAAAAATACAAAAATCAAATACTGTACCGGTTGTACTCATCAAGAATCCTAAATGATAAGACTTATGTTCACTCACTATTCAATTTTTTCTCCAAGGATTGTTGCTTTACCTCAAATTTTGAAATGGTTGCATCCCGTCTTTCGTATTGCAATCCAATACTTGTTATGTTATTTACGCTTTGCATGTATTTAGCTTCAAGATCTAAAACGGACACCATATTTTTTCTTTACGAAATTACGTTTTGCATGTAAATGCAAGAGGTGATCAGAAAATTTGTGAACAAATTCAATAACTTCCTTAAAACAAATAAAATTAGGTCTCAGTGTTCCTTATTTTGTAAAGTAGCTTTCTCTGTTCTGCCCATACGCGAATCACGTGATCCAGGCGATCACGTGACACGCTCTGAAGAATTCTGTGTATATAAGCTAAGATGTATTCCCGAGTCTTATAATTCTTACAATGCAAGTATTTTTGGGAGTTGAAATATGTGCCGACTCCCTAGGTTGTCACGCGATTTCTAACGCAATTATTTTACAATGAATTATATAGCGGCTGTCGTGGTGTTTCGTGGTGTCGGCCAATTTACTCCCCTGTGATATTCAATACAAACTCGCACCAGTCTATATAAACTCGAAGAAACTTCCACAATAAAAATAGTCCATCTCATTTTTCTGAATTAATCTAATTTTATAAATGATTTAAAAGTAAATGAAAAAGAATTTTATTGCACATAATTTGAATAGCATATTTTTGTCATCTCTCTTGAGAAATGATACGTAAATTTTTATTTCCGTATGAAAAAAAGTCCCGTCATTTATCATTCGGCAATCCTCGGCTGACTCCACTACGCTCCATTACAAAAAGTGCGAAGTCATCAAAGGAGCAACAACTGGTCTAACTGGTTTGACAATGACGCGATTGTCTAAATATAGAGATGTAAACAAAGATGTAAGGTCAAAGTAACCAAACTTCTTTCAATTTGTTTCAGCAATAAAGAAACAGTTACTTTTTTTAAAAAATACTATGGAAAATATCACTGTCAGACATTTATTTGCTCTGACAAGTAAATTGATCTGTTAGACTGGAAAATTTTTGTCAGACCAGATACATGCAACTCATTTTTTTACGTTGGTAAAGGGAAAAATAATAGCATTAAAGTTTGTTGATATTCGATCTCACAATTCCAAATGACACTAATTTTACATCCTTTATTTCATGAGTTTATCAGCATTCAGTTGGTCTCGTGTACAACACCAAATCTGAGTTTGAAAAATGTGTATGTACTTGCATTGCAGTATTTCCTTATAAAATGTATCATTTGATTTTTCTTGTAATAGCTCGTTAAAAGCAGTTGTTAAAAGAGTTTGCTCTAGAGATTCAAAGTAAGGCGTTAATTGATCCTTACGTCGCAGGTTCGAATCCTGTGGGATGCATTTGGAGATAAACTCTTTTGATGAGACCATATAAACCGAAATCCCATGTCGCAATATCTGCTTGCACAAAACGATTCCTCACTACTCAGTGGATCTGAGTGCGGTGTATAGGTAAAAATTTATAGACTTACATGTAGCTAGCTCCATCGACAAGTGGTAGTGTCTCAATATAATTGAAAAATATCGAACGCAAAACAAACAAAATGTAAAGTATTTAGATACTTACTTCTATATAGAAATTACTTGAAATGAAATTTAAAATTAGGGAATAACAAAACTTGATGATTAAGTTATAAAGATAGATACATTTGATAAAATAGATAAGCACAGAGTTTTATAAAATTAATTATTATGTCCGAAAAGAAACATTCATACCCAAAAGAGAATAGCAAATACTTATTTTAATCAGAGGAAGAAAAATGACAATCTAGTGTCTGGTGATGGTAACATCGAATACAAAGAGTGTTTGTTTGTTTGTCATTGCCAAATAAATGAGACATCTCGTTCCCAACTTGTCTTCTCTTTGCTACAAAATGTATTTTATTTTCAACCGTCTTTTCCCCTTCATTAAAGAGTCAATGCAATTTATGATTCGACGTCTGGAAAGTCTGTTGTCTTCATAAATCTTGTAAATTATTATTAGATAATTCAAAGGAATGCCCAAGTTATACTTAAAACTTTACAGTCGTTCGTTGCTCGAGTAAGACAGTGTCAATCATTTTTGTCAAAAGTCACCTACATATTTACTTTATATTCACATTGTGACGTCAAAATGATGGAGAAAATCGTAACTTTTCACATGTTATTTATAAAATAAATGTATGACTATAGGTGTGCCAAATTTCATTCAGATCTGAGCTTTAGTTTTAAAAAAATAGAGATAGTTCGTTAACTTTTTAAACACCCCTCTTAGGGGAAAATGTAAATAAATCTATATGCTTTACATCATGTTGTGCAATTGTTGAATCTTGTCTTTCATTTTCGGTTTTTGTACTAGTTATGTTATTTGTCATTTCATTTAATTTAGCTTTTAGATATAAGATACAAAAGATACCCCTAAATCCATGTAACCAAAACACCAAAGATAGATCCATAGCGTAAATACAAATGTACTGTAAACCAACATTTATTCGCGTTCGAGTAATTTTCCCGAAGTTCGCGAGAGCCTTGTCCTCTCGAATATTTTTTTCCTCGAACCAGTCCTTGAAGTCACTGTTTCTATATAGAAAAGATCTGAGGCTTTATCGCGAAAATTAATCGAGAGTTTAAAAGAGTTTAAAAACAACGAATTTTTTTTACTAAACAATGTTTCACATGATAATCATTCTAGTTCGTTGCCTGTCATGATAGCTTAGATTGGTTGTTTGCTGCAATCGAAAGGTCTTTTTATTTTATCTTATTTTTATCAAATCTAAGTTGTTTACAGTAGTGACTCTTCCTTAGCCAAACTTTAAACATTAAGAGACGAAATTCAATGGTGCTTTGGATGAGACCTTAAAGAACAAGAACCCATGTCATAGTAGGCGTGGACATGAGTGTATACCTTCAGTGATCCAAGTATTGGTCAGAATTTAAAACTCTTCATTACCAGAAGATTGCGTCATTATAAGAGTAAAAATATGCACAATTGGTCGTAAAATAACGAAGAGGATTGCGTCATTATAAGAGTAAAAATATGCACAATTGGTCGTAAAATAACAAACAGTACTACTAAATAGTCAATCAACAAGTTTAATTTGATTCCTTTGTTCTTTAAATTGGAATGTTAATTTCAAAAATTCAAATGCAAAGATTTTCTTTTTTTAAATAATAAGATTTATTCCCTTTTTGAAATAAATCCAATTATTATAGCGATGGTTAATACTATGTCTCAGATCCGCGCCATGGATTTGTGCGCGTAATGCCCTGCCATAGATGACGTTATTGTTGTTAGATTTTGACGTCACAATATTTGTTACAGTTGGATTGAGAGATGGGGGTTGTTTGTCTCTTAGCTTAAAAATCCCTTCCAAAATCCAAGCACAAATCTCACTCTTTCCGTATTGGTGCTGCGTCAGATAGTTTTTCTTCCTGTCAGTCAGAAACAGAAATTAAAAAGCAAGGTAGATGGAGTTCAGATGCCTTCAAACGGTATATTAGGATTTAGTATGTTCATTATTGATTTTTTCATATTTTTATATAGGAGATGAAAAGGTTATTTGGATTGTTGGTTCTTCAATTATTAAAGGGGCATTCTACTATGCAAGAAAATCCTTTGATGGTGTGGATTTAGGTTTAAAAGGAAGAAATTACAGAATTTTTTGGCAGGGAAAGGGAGGTATGAAATGGTTTGACCTTATTCCAAAAATTAAACTTTTGTTACGTTATGAACCACCTCCAGAAATTTTAATTATTCATTGTGGAGGGAATGACATAGGTAAAATTCCATTGCTGCAACTACGGTCCAATATGTGTTCAACTCTCAAAAAACTTGAGGAGCTACTACCCAACACAACAATTGGTTGGTCAAAAATTTTGCCAAGAATTTCATGGCGTTTTAGTTCAAACTCAAAATCTCAAAATCTTGCCACTGTTAGACTCAATAATTTTATGAATCACTTAGTTACTGTCAATGGTGGATTCTTTATCAAATACCCAGAGATTACTTGGGATTCAAATGAAATGTTTAGTAGTGATGGAGTTCACCTGTCGTACATCGGTAATTGTTTCTTGCTATATAACTTACAAAGGGCTTTGCAAGAATATGTTTTTCTATAAAAGGTTAAATACGTAGTTTAAGCTTCAAGATGTGGTCACACCTACATATATTTTGCGTCTCTCATTCCACCTAACTTCGTTGGCGGTGGTTGTCATTTTCAACGGACAACCATTTGGCGGTTTTTCGAGACGCCTTCCATGATACAATTATTTTTTCACAACTTCTGCTGAGTATCTGCTAACCCAGTACCAGCTTGAATGTTGTCAGTATTCAAATCTTCAGGACTTTATAAGGATAAGGATACAATGTTTATAAGGATAAGGATATTAAGTTTATAAGGATAAGTATATAAGGTTTATAAGGATAAGGATATAAGGTTTATAAGGAGATATGTTATAACGATTAATAAAATATATATTGTATTATGTAGGTCGTGGCCACAATCGCCAAATCAAAATAAATGATTTTAAGAAGTTATATTTGTCTTCATCATCTTTAATAATGGAAATTTTTGCAGCATGAATCCATTAAAAACGGCGTTTTAGTTATAAACCGACCTCATGTATTTCGCGATTATGTATATTTAGATTATTGAAATGACGGGAAATAATGACTGGTAAAGTTCTTCATAAGCTAGACTTTTTTTTCAATTCTGCTGTGTCAAAGTAAATAATAAGAAAAAAAAAACAAAGCAATTATTAACTAGTATTTCGACGCAAAGTTCATCTGTTTTCTTTTTTTTCAAAATAAAAAATAGTTTCAGAGGATTTTTTGCAAGTATTAAGAATTCCTCTTAAATATCATAATTCTTTTTTCTTGTTAAATAATATGATGGCAACTCTTTTTTGTTTGACACTGTATAACATCTTTAACAGAAGAAATTTGCTAGAAACACAGAAAGATAAGAAATCACATAATAAAAGTTTGGAATGTGTGATTTTAATTTAAAGAGAAAAATATAAAAGATGCTCAATTTGTCGAACACCTAAAGCATATTCCCCCAAGTAATTAACAAGAGACTTTAATCTCAAAATCCTTTAATCAATACAAAATAGGAGTAAAATTCTTCAATTAAAAAAGGATTGAATGCTGAATTGCTTATCAAATACGTATTACAAATATTCATAAACTAACGGTCGCCCGCGTTGTGCATTGGTAAGAGCATTTATCCTTACGACGCAGGACCGTATCCCACTGTAGGACTTGGAAACCGGTCCTTAGGATGGGACTGTATAAACCGAGGTCCCGGGCCTGCGGTACGTGTTTTTGCAGAAATAAAATCCTTCACTACTCAATTGCCTTGATTGCCTAGCATAAGTCAAAATTTGCAGCTCTCCACCAGCAAGTGGTGTCTTCTCGATTTAAGTGAACAATTTTTGAGGAGGACGTTAAAAAAAATACACAAACCAAAATTTACAATTCCTTCATTTTTTTTAACCTACCGGTCAATTTTCCCTCCAACGACTGCTGTTTTACTTCTTGTTGTAAAATGGTTGTATTTTGCATTTCGTTTTCGACTGTTATACTTGTTATATTACTTGTGATTTCTGTTCTTTCACCTTCAAGTTCTGAAATGAATATCATCAGCACTGTTGTTTCAATAATATGTGCCGATTGAAAAATGTAATAAATTGCACATAAATCATATACAGACTTACATCTAATGTTTCAGATCAGATATTCTTTTTGTAAAGTTTTCATTTTTTTTTTGGGGGGGGGGGGTATTGATCGATTGATTGTACATTGTTTAACGTCCCTCTTGAGAATTTTTCCTCATATGGAGACGTCACCGTATGCTGGTGAAGGGCTTCAAATTTAGACCTATACTCGGCACTCAGGGCCATTGAGCAGTGAGGGTTCTTTATCGTGCCAGCGCCTACCGTGACACGGGACCTACGTTTTTAAGGTCATATCCGAAAGACTCGTGCCTTTCACTTCTAGTGCCGAGCGCTTGGCGAAGGAACAGTCACTACCTTTGTTTACGTCTTAGGTATGACGCGGCGCCGCGAACGAGTATCGAACCCGGCCCTCCCGATCACGAAGCGAACGCTCTACCACTAGGCTACCATGACCGGTAGGGGGGGGGTATTGAAAAAAAAAGTTATAGATGGTTAAGAGTTTTATTTACTAAATGCTCATCAGGTATTGAATATGGTTTTGAATAGTTGAAAAATTTAAAAAAAAAATACAATAAAAAGTTGATACTTGCCACTTAGTTTTTCCTTGAAGAACTGTTGATTTACTTCAAGCTTTAAAATAGTTTCGTGTAGTTGTTTATTTTTGTCTGTAATATTAATAAAGTTATGTAGAATATCTCTCCGTTTACCCTCCAATCTCTTAAATGTACATAGTCAAAATTGTTTGTAACAGTTTGTTTTCACTTAAACATGCTTATTAGTAGCAGAAATAGTTAAATTTAAATTTATTTGAAAAGGCCTTCTTATCAAAAAGTTCTTATATATGGACCGCTCTCTGGGAAAAGGGGTCTTAATGACAAAATTTTCGAAATTGACTTTTTCAAATATTTCAAATCTACAGCAAATTTGGGACACACAGTCAAAATTTGAGCATTAAATTTGCTTTAGTATTAAAGTTATACGTGTTTGAACACAACATGTTGCAATTAAATAATAACGTCAATGACGTTATTGAATAACGTTATCTTTTTTTAAAAAAAAAATGACGTCTTAGATACAAACACTTTAAATAACGTTATCTTTGTAAATAGAAATGACGTTTTTGAAACAAAGTCTAATATCAATTTGATTATAAAATATAATAACATAATTTAAATTTTGACATAAAATATTTTTTTCCTAACACATTTTAAATAAAATTATCATGAAGCACATTTAATAAATTATTAAGTGAGTGTATCCGTACATGTTGCACAGCGAATGACATTGTGTTTATGTATATCCAATCGATTAATAAAGGTTGACTACATTTTTTTTATTGATAAATGTTTATAAAGGACTAACAAAATAATTATGATAACAAAGAAACAGAAAATTAATATACAAAACAAAGCTTAGTATCATTATACGTTATTCAAGCGGTTAACAGGTCCATTTGGAAATTGTGACCAGATAAATGTTTGCGGGCGTCAATAAGATTATTGGTCTGTAAACAAACTGGTCAATCCTGGTTAAAACTTCTCGTCTTCTAATACGCTGATATTTACTTCTGCTTTTGAACCTAATTCCTCGACAGACAAAATACCAGGCTTTGTATTTTGTAATCAATTGAGTACATTTGAATTCCACTTAGAGATGTAGGAAAGTCTTCCATTCCAGCCAGTGTCATGCGGGGTACCCGGAGTTAAAACTGTTCCATTCAGTCTGATCAATGAATTAGTCTCCTATAAGTTTTTAATCAATGCAGCAAGCGTTAGACATTGAACTTGTATCATAAACTGATTTGTCCTGCTGCCCTGTCATAATTTGCCACATTAAACATATACATGTATTCCATTAATAAAAAAAATCTTGTTTTGGCCGTTGCAGTTATCAGTATGAACTGTACATAAAAGTTCTGTATTTCAAAGAAACCGAATAAATTAAATAATTGAATCTGGCCCATGTGTATTTGTAGCTTTACGCACTACAGTTTCATGTTGAGAAATTATTAAAATAAAAGAGATTTATCGTCTTTTCGGAAACCAAACTTCTGGATTTTATAGAGTCAAGAAGTGGAAAGGCCATTGGAGAGCATAACGAGGTACATAACTCACTGGTATCGGATGTGTCAAATAAATATTACATGGCGTTCGGGAGGTGTTAAACGTTGAGACTGTCAAACCCTGAAAAGAAACCATAAATCTATTTTAAAAATGTGTGTTGAGTTAATAATTAAATAGCTAAGACCATCTTTTTAAAAACGGTTGTCTTCTCCCGATCGACTATCTAAAGATGGCCCGACTCAAGACTTTTTTTTACCTACCAGGACACAATATTTTTTTTTCTTTTTATTCCTCTTATTCCGTCAACAAACATGTTGAAATTTTCTGGAATGTTTTTTTCGACCTACCTAATGATCCAATAATTTACCCCAAGTCGGGAGAGAGTAAGAAAACACTATTTTAAAGATGGCCTAATTAACATGCGTGAATTTAACTTGCAGTATAAAATTTGAAAAGAAATAGTATTAGATTAAAGACTTAACATGATATGCACACGCTGTAGGAGGTTATTTTCGTTGAAAGAGGGAGATCAGCCTTACAGAAAAATTTAACAAAAACAAAACCAAAAAAAAAAAAGTCACATTACTTTTGAGGTGCACAACCAAAATTTATGTTAATATTCTTTTGAAGAGTGTTAATACTGATAAAGCTTTTAAGGGTTAACTTTGGATTCTCTTTGTTTTCTATTAAGTGTATAATTGTGAATTATTGAACCCCCCCCCCCTCCTCTAGTTTGTATCTGATATAAAGTACAACATGAAGAATCACTGGTTTTTTCTTGGTGCAACTTTAGATAAAATCTCTCCATGATCGTACTTGTGTAAAAATCAATCAAATATATGTAATATGTGTGTTTTCAATAAAAACACAAACTAATTTATGAACTTCCACAGACACCTCAAGAGTGGATAAAGTACATTGTCGTAATTCAACCCCCCCCCCCCCCCCACTTCGGATTGAGTTTATTTGAGTTACTTTTCATGATATGACATGACATGATAGAATCAAATCTATCATTCTGAAAACACTTTACACTTATTTTCGGAGAATATCTATGCTTATGAATTAAAGTATAAAATAATAAAAATGATAGATTGACGGAGAATGTTTTAAAAATTATATGATCGCTACATTTTTCTTATTAGGGGGAAGAGTTGGTCAATCTTGTTTGCTATCAGATAGGGATTAGTCATGAAGATAAATATAATGTCATGTATGTTATCCACATTTCATACAAGTCCACATGCGGCTGCCTGTGATATATCAGTATGACAGTAATCCGATCTCTCTATCTCTATTGGTTTAACATCATTATGTATCGGGGATTCAAGCCAGGATCCAAGCCTCGCAATTTTTTCTGGGCAGGGGGTGCATGGATTCTGCATAAGTAAAAATTACATCCAAACCATAAATTTGTTGACGAGCAAAAATAAAATAAAACCAAACCCACCCACACACCCCACACCCCCCCCCAAAAAATGCACACTCCTTTAAAAGTGTGTTAAACTTATTCCGTAGAGTGGTGGGTCGGACTGCTTTCGCTTCTTAAGCTTCAAAAATATTATTTCTCCTCAAATTTTAAATATTTGATTACTATAGTAATATTTTAAACATTTGATTACTATGAAATTTGAGGAGGGTAAAATCTACAATTTTTAGGGGGGGGGGGGCATTCGCGCATGGAAATTACACTTCGTTTTTAAAGTTTTTTGCTATTGATTAGATGAAAATATTATTCTTTTAAAGTATAATCAGGAATTATAAATAAATCCTAAAATCCAGAAGCAACGCTTGTTAAAAGGTTGAACAGTGGAAAGGTGGAAAGTATCAAAGTATATGATACATGTATGTGCTAAATAAAATATGTGTATGAACTGCAAGCAATACAATGAAAAAAAATCTAAACACGCACTGCAGATTTATACATGAAAAAGTATTAGAAAACAAATGAATTTCAATCCATCAACCAACAAAATAATGCTACAATTATACAAGGGTTTCTGATACGCTAGTCTCCTCATAGTCGTTCATGAGGAGAGTAGCGTATCAGAAACCCTTGGCTAGCGAAGATGCGTGAACGCACAAATAAGCCTATCATAAACTATTCAAACTCATTTAATATTGTCCATTTTCATGTATGCAAACTTTCAAAGTATAAGCATTATACTTACTGATATTTCATAGTCTTTTCTTCTTTCTGTGCTTATCCCTTAAATCGCTATGTTTTGAGGTCGGGCTCGAGTGACGTAATGTAAATAAAGATGGCAATTGTGAATTTTGGTGGATCATAATACTTTACATTCATAGAGGCGGGTTTACGTATGAATAGAAATTTTGACACATAATTTGTTTCAGCGTTGTATTAACTATTCATTTCACTAGGATATCAAATCTAGCGAAAAATAACTGAACAAATTTTGATAAAGTATTTATATATTGTGTATATTCACCTTCAAATTGTTCGCGAAATGCAGAAAAAAAATCACATAGAAAACAGTATAGTATTAAATACAGTGCAAGTTATATCAGAATATCGCTCGGGGTATCTTGAGAAAATATTTTAGAATGGCAAAGAAACTTATTTCACACACGATACGACGATCATAACACGTATTCATTTATACCTTCACTCTGAAAATGAAACAGAAAAACGGAGAGTGGAAAGGAGGAAAAAAGAAACATGTGCATTTTAGACGCGAAAATTTGACGTCACAATAAACACGTTTTCTCGACGTCAACGCTTATGTCATTAAGACCGGTTTTGTCAGAGAGCGGTCCATATATGTTTCACATTATGATTCAATATTGTATTCAATTTCTACATAACGCAAATTATGCTTGAAAATATATTATGTTGTATAGATGGTGGAAAGGAAAAGAAAAATCCTAACAGGAAATAACCTTACTATAAAACACTTACCATTCGATATTTTTTTCATTTGTTGCATGAAGTTCTCCCCCAATGATTTCCATTTTGACGGATTGGTCTCTCATATGTTGTTCCAAAACGCTGAGGAGATTTTTCATAAGATTCATTTCTTCTCGTTTTGAAGAGAGTTTTGTGACTGTTAGCTCACTTAAAACTGTCGTAGATGTCATAACTAGAAATATCCAAGGCCAGAGTGTTTTGATGCTCATCCCCATTTCGACTTAAACGACAAGAAGGATAGATAAACGTAAATTAAATTAAATTAAAACAAAAATCCTACCCGTAGAGTTAAACTAATTCAACACGCTGACACTTCTACCTATCACTTGTTGTTATCGTTACTTACTGAATCATAACACTAATTGTAATGAAATATACGGTTTGATGTATTCAGGAAGAAACTTTAACATAATTGCTTTCAAGAACATGCCTGTCAAATTTGAAAGAGTTTCTACTTACTATCTAGGAGACACTTTGAGCAGAAGCACCTTGAAGAAAACATGAGGGTTCACCTACATGTGATATTTTCTACTCTAAGAGAAAAAAAAATATATCCAAAAATCGTTCTCAACAAACTTTATGTTAAACATATATGTTTGAAAAATTATTATTACCTATTTTTACTAGTTACAAATGGAGAGGTATATTATTCTTTTTATATCTCTGTGTGAACTTAAGGTAAAGGAATCGCAGAGTCTGACACATATGTTTCATATTTTAATATTTTACTTGAATATAGACGTTAATAGTAAACTATCAACCAAGTTTTATAATGAAATTGATGACTTAAAGGACATACGCAATGTACCTTACCTACTGATATTTTTTCAAGACATTCTAAATGTAAACTTATAGTATCATTACATCAGTAACTTAGACAAAACATCAGCATGCCTTACCAGGGGTTTTGAAAAGATATGAAATTTTGAAATTTTTTTGCATTATTCAAAGAAAAATGTGCAAAAATTACAAAACATAAACTCCAGATTTTTTTTTCATCAAAAATTGTTTTAGAAGACGTATACAAAAACATATATAGACATTAGAAATACAGCACACAGGTCCTTCATTTAGTGGAACTCTTCAACTCCAGGGAAGATCCTAATAAAGTTCAAACTATGTTGCTTATGACCTTAACTTTTCAATCGTCAAATTCCCTTACTTATGCAGCAATATTATTTCATTATCTGTATACGGGGTTTATATCTCTAAGTTTATTTGATGTACAAGAGCATGCTCTATGTACGTAAAATTGCGTAAACAGGTAAATCATTGTCAAACATGTTTAACAAGTCAAATGCTGACTGACATTTTTATACCACATGCCAGAGCATTATTTACACATTGAACTGGTGACGGATGTTTTCGTTATTTCTCGAACATGACAAGGAGCACATGGCGGGTGTGACCACTCAACAGCTGGTTCTTACCCCTCCATGGCACCTGATCCTAACTCAAATGTTTCGGAGGTTCGTGTTTGCTCTTCTCCTATTTTGTATTATTTAAAGGATTTTGAGGTTGAATACTGTTCATTATCTCAGTATAATTCATTGAGAGAAATAACATAAAATTCATATAAAAGATTTTTTGGGTAATTTTTGTGTAAGCACTACATAGGTTCACAACTTATTTGAAATCAAACATAAATCACATACTATATACTTTAGTAGATATATATGTATCTAGTGAAAATTCTTATCTACAGAGTAATCATAAGTTAAATGTCTCAATTTTCTGCTGTTTCTGTTATTTCCTGATTCCAAAACACTTTTATAGAAGTACGTACATCTTAGTACTCAGGAACATTCTTAAATATATATAAATATCTCAAGAACGTATCTTCTGTTGTTTCCCATGAGCTTCCTTTTATTCAATAGAGCCACTTAAAGGAGATAAAGGGATTTTTTTCTATCTGGGGTCTAAAATTCCTTATATTTTGAGTCAAAGACAGAAGCTAAGTGTTTAAATAGATATTTTTTTCCGCCACAAATTTAAATATTAATATCCATTTCGAACAGAAACACTAAAATACAAATATTTGTTCATTACTTGAATTGACATTTTGTAATGTTACATTATCATAATTGAACATTTCCTATTGATTGAGCAATTAGGTTACCTAGATATCTTCATAACATTTCATTTCAGATATTCACATTTAAAATATAAGCTAAAAATCGAAAGTGGGTATTGATCTATTAGTTACCGACGTTTCTGTAAATTTAGAGCTTTCTCAAATTGCAATGTATTTGTTACAAGATATGGATTTCCATATTTCAGTTAAGCAACCTTCAGTGAGCGTTTATAGATTTATACATGGGATGTCACAATTAAAATATACTCCAATTTGCAATTGATTTATGTCTTAGATAATTAAAGTTGAATTAAACATTTTGAGGCTTCATCAGGTATTTGCAAATCCTGAAATTCTTATTTAGCTAGACGTGCTTCTGAAATAAATTGTTACCTTTAAAATCCACCAATTGAAGTTGGTATTTGCTAAAATAAAAAACAAAGGTTATAAAAAAATGTTGAGTAATGGAAACTAAAAAGCAATTTATATTAATACCAGGAAAAATAAACTACCAGATAGCAAGACTACATCGAGCCGGTGTTGGTTGATAGTTAATAGGTTGGTATAGTTTGTCACTGGGCTGTAAATGTAAGCCCAACGTTGTCCCAACAGATGAAATATTAGCTTAAAAGCTTGTTCGTAGGTGTTCGTTTGGCAATGGTTGTCAATTTTTTGTCAATGTGGACCCATTGTAGTAAATATTGGCATGAAATGTGGCCACTATATGTTTGGAATTTGATGTTGGGTCTTCGTAGGTCCGACTGAGTAGATGTTGACAGAAATTAAAACTATTGCGTGTTGGGATGTACAATGTTGGCCCAATATAGGGTCAACCAAGTAATGTTGACATGAACATGACATCGTATGTTGAACGTATAATAATCGGTCCAATGTATGCCCAATGTAGAGCATTTTGATAATAATTAGGCATTGATTGAGATTTCAACGTTTGTGTAGCGTTCGTCACACGGTGTAAATATTGGGAAGGAAACAAGTTTTGTAAACAAACATGTACATGTAGGTGACATGTTATTTACGCTCATTATTTTTTTTTTATTTTTCAGAACCACTTAATTTAAACTTCTGTCGACGTCTCACTTTTACTTAAATATTATGTAGGATGGATTAATCTTAACAATTTATGTGTTGTTTAACTATCTAAAAAGAAAATGTTATTTCAGAAGCTAATTTATGAAAATAACATATTAATGATATTAATTACATATTGATGATTTATATTTATGATTAATGTCGCAGTATAGTTAAGGCTTTCCGGAGCTTAAAATTCCTTTAAAACGTAAAACTACATTACAAGGTTGATTTTGAGCTTTATTTTTGGGTTATGTATTTAAGTACGCACAATTCATATAGAGATATTTAGGCTCTACATAAGCACTTTTGTTAAAATATCACATGACCAGTTGAACACATGACGGTCATTTCTTCTTTTTGAAGTGTTTCACATAAATCGCTTCTGCGCAGCCGATTAATACATTTATAATTAAGTATTTGTTACCGAAATAAACTTGTTGCATCCTTGTGAATCCGAAAAGTTATACTATTATTCTGGTACAAAATATTTCAGACATGACCGCTTTGCGGATTATACAAAAGAGTTTACTGACCCAAACCAGTTGATACTCCAATAACTTGGCCAAGAATTATGGTCATACCTTGTAATTTAATTTTAAAAAAATTAGACAACTGTTAGGCAAATGTAAAATTAAGCTGCTTTTTATGACTTCAAAGTTGAAATTCACCGCTCAATAATACAACCGTAGTAACAGAAGTGATAGGAAACGAGAGGAGGAAATAACTGATACACAGATCTAGCAGCCATGATGTTTGTTTACATGAAGTAAGATCGAGCTACTGTTTTAAAGTTAAAGGTACATTTATTAAATCTGGAATTGTTCCATGAATCCCGAGGACTGGAAATGAGGGAATTGCATGGATCACAAAAGATATGAAATAAATCCCCATTAATCACATATTATGAATTCTGTATAAAAGAAAGGTAAATGTCAAAGGTATCTTTTCAATTGTATTTTGAACACGCTGACTTTTACACAAGATTTATATAGCAAAGTTATCTAAATCATTTGGATATATTGATTGTTTTAAAATGATTAAAGACGTCTATTTTAAACTAGCTTTCTGCACATTTATATGCAGATTGAAATGAGATGAAACATTTCTCCCCATCATTACAGCTCAAGTTTGCAGTGATGCAGAGTATGCCGCATTATTCTCTGGGTAGCCTTATCGTACTTGTGTTGGAAGTGCATGTAGATGTTTTATTCTTCACATGTATAAAACTTTATAATTTTATGCTGCTTAATTTTAGAGCTTTTAATAACTAGGTCAGTGGAAAAATCCACCGACACAGAGGGTGTCGGTTTCCTAAGAAACAGGCATCCTTAGTAAGTTCTGAAGTTTTGAACAGGAAGAAAAAGAAAACTGGTGGTTTAGCCCTTGAACTGCAAGTATATAAATCTGATTTTTTTTATGTGATTGATGAAATTTTATGTCTGTGAAGGTATTTAACTTGGCCATAGTTTTCAAATTTGAACAAGTTTTACAAAAGGTGAATTTTCCAAATTATACAAGTATAAGTAATTTGGTTATTTATTACTTATCAGTACTAAGAGAGATCATTTCTGAATATATTAAACTGATCTATATTTTTATACCCTTTATAGTATCTGGTGGAGAGAAAAGCCTTAATTAAACAAGGCCATTGATGTTTGGATGTGAGTAATGTGACTGTGTGAGGGACTCTGTGGGGGACATGAATTTTATAGACAAAGAAAGAATAACATGAGCAAGGAAAAAGAGAGTCAATGATACCAAAGTTTCACATGTTTGAAGACGCGAACGTATTTAGTGGTAGTTGTAGTGATATTGGATAGACTTAAGAATCAAAACATTGAAGTATCTTCTCTCTGCTGCTTTCATTACATAGATGTGAGAAAAACAACATTTGTTTAAGAAAGTAGTTAATTATCTATCCATGTGGGGTTTAGATTTATACCATTAATTGTGATTTACTCTTAATTCTGAAAATTCAAATGTTATAGTAATCGAATTCATATTGTTGAACTTATTATATAATTAGTAAATCATTAAGTCTCTATTTACTTGCTTCAAACTGTTGATTAACAATGAAAAAGGAAAAGATAAAGAATAATGATCGAACTCAAAATTCTTTAATAAAACACAAAATCGTGAATCTCAAAGACGCAGAACATGGTAAATCAGAAGGTTTGATACAATGTAGATGCCTAGGGTGAATGAGCATCCCATTTCAGCCACCGGCAGTCCTATGTATTGATCAGGTAGACGAAGTAAACAGCAGTCAAATTTAGTATGAAAACAACACAAATTAAGATATAGATCATATCTAGCCGCAAAGAAATGTTATGCGTTTTTTTGCAAATAAAACCATAAGAATAATAGAATATTTTAAATACTAGAAGATGTTACTGGACTCCTTGATTCATCATCCCATTTAACAGCATCTTTTCTAAGTTGAAAAATAGGTAGAACTCAACAGCATAATTTTATCATATCGAATGAGCAGGAAGTGATAAACTTAATATGCAAATGATAAGGGATAGAATACCGTACTCATGAATTTAAGTTTATCTCAGAATCTGCGTCGTTATCAAAGCTCTACGTATTATTATATGTTATTATTCTATACCATGTAGGTAGCGTTTTAAGAGAATTGCTGATTAAATGTTATCAGGTGATATATCTAGAAAGTCTAACTACATTGGGATCCAGAGTATTCGTCTTTACATCCTTGAAGACAAGACCCGGACGTCTGATCACAACTTCCATCTCTACCACAGCCATAAGGACATGTATACAAACAGGAAGAACCTGTGTACCCAGCCTGATATCTTTGAAGACAAGAACCCGTACATGTATGTTGATCACAACTACCATTTCCAGCACAATTTCAGGGACATGAGCTATAACATGAACCCCTTTCGTACCCAGCCTTGCATCCTTGTGGACAAGAACCAGAATTTTGATCACAACTCCCATCACCACCACAGTTAAAGAGACAATGGGAATCACAAGTAAATTCAATGTACGCCGTCTTACACCCTTCAGACAATACGACATTAACCTGTGTTAAAAGCAATACGGATAATAAAAATATTTACATTTGATTTTTTTTCCTTTATAAAAGCAATGCATATCTACAACTGTATAAATAAAGGTACGGTGTCATGAGGTCATAGATGTGCATATGGATAAACGGTCGACGTAATTTTGAACGTCAGTGGATTACAAACATGCCGTTGGGTTTGAAAAATAATGCATTTCACACGTTAAAAGTCACAATCAGGGAAATGTAAAGTATAAATAAGTCACAAATGTAAATACAAGTAATAAGGTACAGTGTATCATTTCAGAACATGTTTCGGGCTAACAAACGGGTTGGTACGACATGGCCTTACACGTGACCATCCCGTATATGTATCCCGAAAGATGTTTTTAAATGATACCTTATTTCTTAAATGATACAATTCCAATGTTCCAATGGATTTCCCCATGATCTACCGCTACTCTACTGATCAATGATTTCTGTTCCTTTTCTTTCATCTTTGTTTATATTTAAGAAATAAGTTATCATTTCAAACATATATCGGGATATAAATACAGGTTGGTCACGAGATAAATTCCATAAAGCCGAAAGGGCTTTATGATGAATTTAATCTTGTACCAACCAGTATTTATAGCCCGATTAATGTTTTAAAATGATACCTTATTACTTATATTTAAATTTGTTACTTATCCATACTTTATATTTGCCTGATTGTGACATGCATTATTTCTTAAACTCAAGGGCAAGTATGTAATCCATTGAACGCGCATCGACCCTTTATGAGCTACTAAGAGTTACTAAGAAATTACGTCAAACGATTATCCATGCGCACATGTATGACCTCTTGACTCCGTATATGTATTTATTCAGTAATAGATATGAATTCCTTTCAGTAGTGTTATATAAAGGAAAACATTTGCAAATGTAAGTATTGAAACATAATTGATTCAATTGGAAATTTTTTCCATTTGTTTGAGCAAATTTTATAAGCAGATATTTTATCACTGAAACATCTATACCTACTTGTCGCAATTTCCGGATCCACCACATTTTAAAGGACATAAGCTTCTACAATAAAAAATTTGCGTCCTGACAAACATTCAAAGATACAGTGTCCAGTATTTACATCGCAAGATCCATCCTTACCACAGTAAGGACTACAAAGCTGGTTGCAATCCGGGCCATAGAAACGAGTCCGACATGCTTTATACATTATTTAAGGGAAAAACGGAAATAAAAAAGAATTCATCCGATTCCTATACATTGACATATGCATATTTCATGATATATATCAAATGCCGTTTTTATCTGGCTATGATTAAGACATCTTCTTTGCTTTATTGGATATATTTGGATTTACAGTAAATATTTATATGTTAAAATCCAAAAAAATGGTCTCAGTTTATTTTACCTTCAGAGAGAACGGCAGCGGAAGCAATTAAAAATCCAAGAAGAAGCATTTTGTGCAAATGACCACTTTCCTATCTGAAACTTAGAGCATAATCACATTGACTTTAAAAAAATCATATCTAAAAGTTAACACTGGCAAAATTGGTTTGATTGGTATTGTTGAACAGGTAGTTTGAATTTATTTCAGGTTATAAAATAAGGTAATGCAGCCTGTTGTTTTAAGGATTTTGATTTTCTTTTGTGGCCTCCAGTGGGCAAACTCTTTCTTGAAAACCAGAGAAATGTTTTTTTTTCACAAAATATTTGCTTTTCATGACGCAATGCACCACCATATGTTCCTTACAAAATGCTGTGCACACATTTTTGCATTGCGATATCTGGGACATATTTCTATCTCTAGATCTCATGTTAGTTCCCAAATGAAGGTGTGACTAATAAACACTTTTGAAAGTTTATTAGTGTTTTTAAAGAAGTGTATTTTCTGTCCAGACCAGTTTAAGTTTAAGTACATATTGTACCAGTTTAACCTTCAATAGCTTGATCATTGACATATTTTTAAGAAATAGATTAATGCAATCTTTTTTTCATTTTCCCACGAATATCGGCAGTCTTGTTTTAAAGTCACCATATCGTAAGGTCTTTGTTCGATACAATCAAGATTATTTGATTTTATATCAAATAGTAAATTATTAATTTAGGAAAGGGTTTTAATGTTTGGTTAGTTGGGACGAAGTTTACACAAGTTATTACATCAGGAATATACAAAGTCGTATTACGAGTCAAACTGTGTACGAATTAATTATAAAGGTGCACCGGAAGTTATCCCCCTTTTCAAACCAGCAAATTGTTGAAATCAGACGCTTTTTTCAACACCAAAGCAATCAAAAGCCATCACGTTATTTGAATCGAAATCATGCCGCCAGTTAGAACGAGAGTGACCAAGAGAGCGTCCAGGAAGCGGAGGGAGACCATGGGCACCCCATCGAGAGGCAGAGGGCATCGGTGCAGTCAAAGCACTAGGCCCAGGACAAATCTCACGCCAACACGCCAGGCCCCGGCCGAGGGAACAGACGCCGGTGGAATTCCCCCAGAAGCTCTTCCTCTGCCATCCGATACTATACAACCTACGCTGACATCACAAATAGATCAAAGCATCCCTGAAATCCCCAGCGGTGAGTCAAATTTATATTTTTCAAGTCAGCCACTACAAGAAATCAGTTGTTATGATTCCGTAGGTTCACACGTCCCTCAGAAGATTAAAAACCAAATATGGGAGGGCAAATTTATCGATCTCTCACTGCTTACTAAAACAGCTTGTGAATCACAAGATTATGAATCACAAGGGGACATAAAAATTTAAAAAAGGGCGGCTTTGCACTGTGAAACCAAAAAGAAACATTTTTCTCACAATCGATAAGTGGACATCGGCTTTTATTATATTTACAAGCGTAATGATAGAGAAATTTCCAAAACAGGCTCAAGAACTACTCAAGTATCTCAGAGATATCAGAATCGCTGCTACTAGGTCAAATGATTGGTTTAAATATGACGAGCAGTTTCGTTTAAAAATGGCCAACCAACCCCAGCTGTCATGGGGTCAAATTAATCAGGAATTTTGGCTTTTGTACATATCTAACAAGCATGAAACTACTCAAACGTATAATCGTACCTCTTCTCAAAGTCAAAGTTCTTACCCAAGCAATTCAAACCGTACTTCGGCATTTTATTGTAATCATTTTAACAAGGGAGTAAGTTGCCCTTTCTTCCCTAGGTGCAAGTACAGACATGCATGCAGCAAGTGCGGAGCTAACCACCCAAGTGCCAGGTGTTCAAAATAATGGTTCAATGTATTCTTTGGGCACAACACCAATCAAGTTTCAAAATTTATGTAAACATTTAGTTGGATACTCTGATTGTGAATTCATATTCCAGGGTTTTAAGTATGGTTTTAATCTCCAATATTTGGTCCCCAGGGCACCCCGTGAATCTTGTAACCTCCCTAGCCTCAAGGCTAATACAGTATTAGCTGAAAGTAAAATTAAAAAAGAATTAGCATTAAAACGAGTTGCAGGCCCTTTTGTTCACCCACCATTTCCAAACTTGCAGGTCTCCCCCTTAGGCCTTGTGCCTAAAAAAGATGGTGACATGCGACTCATACATCATCTCTCTTACCCAGAAAACAAGTCAATTAATGATTTTATTGACCCTGAAGCATGTACAGTACATTACAGCAATATAGATCAAGCAGCAGAAATGATAGCTAAGGTGGGAAAAGGGGCCTATTTAGCTAAGACGGACATTAAGTCAGCATTTAGACTGCTCCCAGTATCCCCAGGTGACTTTGACCTGCTTGGTTTCAGATTTCAGGACAAATACTATTTTGATAAAATGTTACCTTTTGGCTCTTCAATCAGCTGCGCATTATTTGACAGGTTTGCATCATTCCTACATTGGCTCACTCAAAACTACTCCCAAAATGATCTGATAATTCACTACCTTGATGATTTCCTTTTCTGCGGCCCACCAGGCACATCCACTTGCCACAATGCCTTAAATGTTTTTAAATCCATATGTTCAAATATTGGTGTCCCAATTGCTCATGACAAAATAGTCGAACCTACACAAGTCCTAACATTCTTGGGAATAGAATTGGACACGGTCAATATGACCATGAAACTCCCCTCAGAAAAATTAAACCAGATTAATGGCGTATTAGAACACTTTTTGAAGGCAAAGAAAGTCTCCCTGAGAGAAATGCAGTCACTTATTGGCTTATTAAACTTTGCGTGCAAGGTCATCGCCCCTGGCCGGGCGTTCTGTCGCCGCCTTATAAATTCAACAATAGGTATTACTAAACAGCATCACAGAATAAGGGTAACAAAGAACATAAAAGCTGACCTCACAGTATGGAAAATTTTTTTGCAATCTTACAATGGTATATCAGTTATATTTACCCAGCCCTGGATTCACAATGACACAATTCAACTTTTCACAGATAGCTCAGGCGGAACTAGTGGAGGGTTTGGTATTTACTTTAGGGGGAAATGGGCTTATGGGGTCTGGCCAAGCCTTTGGGTTGAACAAGGTATTACTAGGGACATGACTTTCCTGGAACTTTTCCCCGTAGTGTTTGCTATTATATTATGGCAGAGCCACTTTGCCAATTCCAGACTTGTCTTCCACATTGACAACATGTCAGTTGTCCACATCATCAACAACTCGACGTCTAAATCTGATAGGGTCATGAATCTTGTCCGCAAGCTTGTGTTAATATGCCTAAAGTCAAATATCTGTATTAAGGCCTTATATATCCCCACAAAACAAAACTTCATTGCAGACTCCTTATCTCGATTTCAATGGGGCAGATTCAGGCGACTGGCACCGCAGGCAGACCTAGGGCCCACCCCACTACCAAGCCACATCTGGGAAATATAATGCTTGAAGCCAATCGATTACTACAATGTTCAATAGCACCATCAACACATCGAGCATATTCAACAGCGCTGAACAAATTTCAAAACTTCATTTCAGAATTTAATTACCAAATTATTTGGCCAGCACCAGTGCAACAGCTCGTGAATATTATTGGTTTCCTCTCACTTAATAATATGTCATACAGAACAGTATCACTGTACCTAAATGCAATCTCATACATACACAAAATACATGGCTTTCAGGACACAACAAAATGTTTCATAGTTTCTAAAACCCTGGAAGGGCTGCGTAGATCAGTAGGTACAAACAAAGACCAAAGAATCCCTATTTCATTTGAGCTTTTTCACAAAATTATCCATTCCCTGTCCAATGTTGGCAGTTCCGGATATGAATCCGCCCTCTTTTCAGCAGCATTTACTCTTACATTTTATGGTTTGTTAAGAGTAAGTGAAACACTGGCACTCAATTTCTCAGACATTACAATAAAGAATCAAAACCTTTGCCAAATTACTATTCAAAGATCTAAAACGGACCAAATCGGACAATCTGTTAAAGTAGATATCGCCTCTCATAGGGAATCCATTATCAGCCCAATCACAATCTTAAATAATTTTCTGCTTTTAAGAGAGGGGTTACAAAGAAATGACAAGCTTCTTACTCATCTAAATTCTAAGCCCCTTACAAAGTACCAGTTTCAAGCCATTTTACAAAAAGCATTACAATTCATTGGGGTCACAGGGCACTTTAGGTCACATAGTTTCAGAATTGGCATGGCAACCGAGCTTGCCAAACAAGGTCTCTCGAATATTGAAATAAAAGCTAAAGGAAGATGGCGGTCAACTTCATATTTAACTTACATTAGGAGACAGTAAATCTGTCCTTCGTTATTGTAGCACCTACTAACTCTACCAAAGATTTTTCAGGTACCCCAACCATTCGGATACTTGGATCATCAATTCCATTCTGGGCAGGCCAGCATGCTGCAACCTATCGATCAGGGGGAAGTAACCTTAATTTACCTGCCACAATTTCTTGGCTAGGGCGTAGGGGTATGCTTTGGGATCAGTTAGACAAGGCAGTTTCGGATTATTTACTTCAGTATCCTACACCCAAATTTCTATTGATACACCTTGGGTCTAATGATTTAACTACACCAGATTTAACAAGCATCAAACTTATTCATCAAATACAGTGCAGCCTGTATCGCTATAACGCACTTCTCCCAAGTACCACTTTAATTTTTTCTTAAATATTACCTAGGCTGTACTGGCATGGTGCCCCTCCCAAAGCAGGTGCAAAAATTAACAAGAAAAGGCTCAAAGTTAACAAGTCTATCAAAAAGTTTATAACTACTGAAGTTAATGGCTGTTACATAAATATTGACTCAACCATTAAAATCTCTGAAATACAATTGTTCAGGAATGATGGTACCCACTTGTCAAAAACTGGTCTTGAGGTTTACCTTAATAACCTGCAGTCTGCTCTCCACATGTTTTTAAACAAGAGAACCAATGTATATCCTCCAAATTAACTTAATGTTTTATTACAAATACTCAATTTTTGTGGGGGGACATAGTGTCTATGTCCTGTGGCGGGGACTGGGGGATACTTTTGTGTATGTTGGGATCAAGTGGCCCCATAACCTGGTTGTCTCCCCACCCTGCCTCAAAGCAGGGGGGGGGCGTTTTGGTATGTAATACATAAGTACATGTAGCACATAAGTTGTATAAAGTAACATTATATGGTAACATCCGTGGTTCATGGCCTGTCATGGCTGGTTCCACCTCCACCTCGCACAAGCGGGGGGAGGCCACAGTCTGGTAAAGTAAGTGGGTACACCAGGTGGCGCTGGAGACAGGGAGAAGGGCAGTCCCGCATTCACTGGTCCAGAACGTGGTGACCGTTCGGATCGGGCACTTGTGCTTACACTCGCCCCCCCCCCCCCCCCATGTGCCCATGGTTATTTTGGTACATTTGTAGGTATCCCCCGTCCCCCACAAAAAATTGCGGCCTTTTTATCTCCAATTATGTTGATTGTAATAAATGTGTGTTTTTGTGCTCAAAGTGTTAATAATAAAGTGATAGAACTTAGTACAGGTGTTATCATTACAGGCGTTTACATGATAGGATGGGTCTGATCTGAGTTGTCTGTATGTCTTCGATCTTAGTAGTGGATGGACTCAAAGCAAAGCGCTTGCGCTGCAAGTGCATTGTATGAGGGTAGTACACTAAGCGGAAATTTGTGTAAAGGGATCATGCCCCCTGTATCTATAATTAATGACTTTGTCAACAAATACAATCTAATATTGAGTGAAAATATGCTGACTGACTTTTTTCATATGAATTTTTAATCTATTATTTATATAATGAACTAACGACGGATTTTTCCATTATTTTCCGATCATTACAAGAAGCACACGACCGGTGTGACCGGTCAGCAAAGGATGCTCACTCCTCCATGGCACCTGATCCCACCTCTGGTATTTCGGAGGTACTTGTTCGCTCTGATCTTAATTTGTACTGTTTTATGAACTTTGATATTGAATACTATTCGTTATCTCCATATCCTTCTCATTCGAAAATAACTTTCTAAACCCCTCCCAAGAACAAAACAATCACACTTTTTTTTACTATTGTCCTCGAAATAAAAGTGAATCACATATAAGTCTGTTCAATACACTGCATAAAAAACTACTATGAATTGTATTTTCCAATAAGATAAAAATGAGGCTTATATTCCATTGGTCATGATCGGACATAAAGCAAACATATCTTTAAAAAAAAGACTTTGATATGTAGACAATCATCGAATAATTTTATTTAGAGTAGAAATGTTAGAAAGCAAAACACCTTCACAAGTATCGTCATTCCGAACTAAGAGATGCGTACAGAGGTTAGCAAATCGAGCACACTCGTGTTATGTACACTGTAAACAGAACTCGAGTTCTGTTATTGTTTATATTTGGAATTCACTGGGTGCGTTCAATCGTCATAGTCAGCTTACCACAACTGCATGGACTGACAATATATTGTGTGTTTGTTTTGCTCTCGAACGTGTCTACTCTGAATTTTCTGGATTATAGTTTTAATATTTTTCATTTATACACTTTTCCTAAGGATTAAGAATAAAATTAAATTTGTGAGAGTGCAAGGATATGTCAATCAAATTCGCCGAAAAATTTGAAATTTCAATATCTTTTAAACGAAATAAGATTTTTAATTTATTTTTGTGTGAATTGCTATTATAAAATATATAAGTCGTAATATTATAGAGAAAATAATAACTTCAAATCTGTGTCCAAGTACCTTTAAAAAGTTTAATAATTATTTTATTAGATTATGCCCTTTCCGTAGCGATATACCAAGTCAAGCTTATTTACCTTATATAATTATTGAAATTTTAATAGAAATCTGTGAATATTGCAAAAGGATCACAGGTTTACCCGAATGCATAATTTATTTCAAACACTTACTTCCTCGTTTGCGTTCTCTTTTAAAAACATGTATTGCATTATATAAAAAGAAAAATTCATTAAATTTAAACAAAGCCGGATGCTTTTTTTCACATTAGTTCGAAATGATAAATTATGATTTGCACAGGATTTGAAACATAAACCCTTTGGCGAAGCAGATTGACTCACAACAGCTGTAAAAATATATTAATTTACGTTTAAGAGAGAGATGAATTTCTTTTTAGATGTTGTTTTAATTGTTATGAAACATCATTCAGAGTGTGGTGTAACAACCGGATCTGTTTTACACGTTCTGGGGATGAAGTTCCAAGACAGTTCTGTGGAGCAGTTGAAACATATGAAATTTGTAACAGCAGATGGATTAGAATATGCTGATATTGTCCCATTTTCTGAAAAGATCATAAGTCAAGTAAAAAAAATAGGGAGAAAATAACTTTCTTGTATTAAAAAGGTGTATTTCCTTTTTTTTAAAAATAAATTTAATCAACTAATTCTCATAGAAGGTAGTATGTTTATGGTTGAATATAGTCAATTATTTATCAGTATCTTATGATTGATAGAAGAAAATATCTATTTTGTTGAACAATGTACATTGACTCTTTTTAAAAAAGTTAAGTCATGTTACAAAATTTGTATCACTAAAAATCAATACAATTAAACTTTTTAAAGCGAGACAAAAATGCGACCGTTAGGGTAAGCGCAGATACTTAACCAGTTTTCATTTAGATCTGACTCATCAAACTGCACGTGACATTCGGTGTGACTCTCACGTCACATGACGTTACAATACGTCGTTTGCATTGTTGCTTCACCAAATTGAAGCCTAAATAGGACTGATTTCAATCAGTTTATGACTATTTTTCTGCAATAAACAGAAAAATTCATTAAATCTAGGCAAATTTATTTTTTTTTAAACTTTTGTCGTATTCTCGATAGAACGTGGCTTTGGCATTTGTGTACTAAGCGATGCATTGTGGTTCAAATTACTGCGTCAAAAAATTCTATGGAATGAATGTGCAGTAGTTCGAATTTTCTCTTCACCAAGGCATTGTCGTAAGAGCTTGCAGTTACGAGCGTCACTTCGCGACGCTCGCTGCGCTCGCAATTAAATGGTTTTTCCGAGGCATCTTTTTTTTGTCACAAACTCCGTCACTTATTGGTAAATATGCAACTTAGTGATGCTGAGGAAAACCATTTGAGAATGCAACATGTGTCACAAGAGCATACATAAAGAATGGTGACTTAAAGATCTGGAAATTTAACCGAGTTACAGACCTTTAACATTCAGTTTATTTTCAACCTTGGAAAAAATTCGATTTTTATCACATTGCCCATAATGTGGAGTTCTGAACAACTACAGAAATTAAATTGTTATGCATTTGGTTAAGCAAAGTTAGCAATGGTCATGAAAAATTCATGTTCAAATGTTCACTTTATAAGACAAAACATATGTCAATAGTGTTCCCTTTTATAAACCAATTATCCATTGTTATGACATACATACTGCATAAATGTCATTTGAGGCACTTCATTTCAAACAGCTTAAATTTTATTATTTTTGCACTGTATACATGTAACTGTGAAAAACCTATGTTTGATGTAAATACTTTAATTGCCTCTTAAAAGTATAAAAAATGTTATCGTGTCAGACAGCGATAGTTCTGGATAGGAAGTGTATACTTAGGTGTACAGAAGTTGCCAGCAAAGGTCAAGTATAAAATATTTACTAGCGATGTCATGACACACACTTTATCATTATCTAGCTGAAGATTAACAGAGTCACTTGCAGGTAAATTAAATTTCTACTTCAACTCTACTACATGTACTTGAATATATTTATTAGATTAAAAGAAATATTTACGAAAGAAGGTATAACAGCAAAGCCTTTGTATTAATTCCCTGAAACTATATTATAAAATCAGAGTCTTCTTTTTTCAACATATCAGTTTAAGTGTAATTCATAATTTTTTTTCCAATTTCTCGTCAATACATTCATCTAGAAATAAGCAGCTTACTTACTGGTCATTTTAAAAAGATGCCCCTAGCTGTACATTTGCTAGCAACTGCACGCAACAATGTTACTACAATGAACATATTATCATACGTCAATTAAATTGGTACATTTTGACATTGGTGACAATAAGTGCTGAGACGACAGCTCCCATCCTGCAAAGTGAGGGACAAAATTTATGTTCTTTATTGTAACATATATTTTCAAAGGTTTCATTCTAAGGAAATTTTCCTGTAAACAGACTCCTGTATGTTATTTAAGGAGAAAGATACAAAAAAAAAAATTTATTGTGCCCGAAAATTATTTTAAATATAAATTAGTATTGCCTTTCATTTTCCTTAAGAAACATGCTTCAAGTGATTTACATGATATTTTTGAAGAGGTTTTTCTATACTGTCACAAATGTAATGTTTCACAACAAACTCTAAATAATATTGAATCACACCAGAAACAGATATATCACATTCCGGAAGTAGTTATAACACCATCCCGATCATCATCATATGATTTTCTGGTACACATTTTTGCTCGAGTTCGAGATTTAATGACGTAAGCTGCTAAGCAACCCAATCGCAACTTCTCGGGCCTTTCGGACTAGCAGAAAGTGACCTCGAATGTACATGGTAGCCACCATGACACCATGACAACCCTCCTTTTTCACGATCTTTGAAATAAATGCATGGAGACCTTTTATCTGTGGGATATGGAGTTTAGCTTTATTCAAAGTAATGACATTACCTAAAATATACCATAGAAGGGACTTCTAACTCCGTATATCCTATATTTGAATAAACAGGAAACGTATACATTTTTAACATCCGGTGATGTTAATACATTCGAGGTTGTTTTTTCGACCTCTGACGGAGAGACCCGAGATGATGCGATTGAAGCAAACCTAACAACGCAGCGTAATTCCTAACGTCACGAATCTTCATCATCAGGTGACATAGTACTCTAGGTTACCCTCTTCCTTCGGCATCGGATGATAAAATACTCCAGAACTTTTCTATCACCTGAGGGCAGATATTCTTCTATCACACTTCGAAGCTATTTGATATATCAAAATGATCAATGTTCAATTATTTCTTAAATAAAAGACAAATCTCTCTTTCTAATAAACAAAAAAGATAATGTTAATTAATGTTTAATCGTTAATGCTCGTTTTACTGCTTCAAGCGACAGTGCATTAGCCAATCAAACCGTCTCTGTACTTTAGTCAGTAGAGCGCCCCCTCGCTAATCAGAAGGTCTTGAATTCGAATCTCGGCCGAGACTGACAAAGAGTGCACCATGTTAACATTTGCACTTTTGTTAATGCATGTTCTAACCTTTTATTATTTACCTCATGTGTTTCACTTAGTTTTACTGTTGATTTAATGCAATCATGCGATCCGAATTTCCGGATCACGACAATGTATTTTCTGAATATATATCACCCCTCTCTAAAACTAATTTCGAAGTACACAAAAACATGACATTATTTTTCTTGCGCATTTAAAAATCCCTTGTTATCATGCTTTGTTTTTTTTTTTGGATAATATTTCTACAATGAAACCTATGGAGAAAGGGAATAGTATTGAAGAATTTTTTTTTTTTTTTATTTCGCTATATGTAGGTAAGGTCATTTATAAATACAATTATAACAGTAATTAATGATCCAAAGAGCCGTTTTACGACTCGTTGACAGGCGCCTCGTACGAGCTGATGATCCGCACCTTTCAACTCGACATGATACAACCCTTCGGATCTAAATACTGTTATAATAAAATATATTTATTTATTTTACCTATAAAATGGATTAATTCTGACAATGAACTTCAGTTTTAACAGTTATTCTGACACCTTTAATGTTTCAATGTTTACATGTCATGTAACTCGATCAAATAAATTCCGAAAATGTATGAGCAAGCTAAAAACTGAAAAAATGATGCCCATTATATACATGTATCCTTTAAAATTAAAAGAAAAACTGTCATCACTTATTTCAAAGAGTTTGAAATTTTAAAATAATTAAGAGATTTTCGCGAATGTTCAGTTGGAATACGAATAGAGTAACGATGTCCAGATTGTCAATCACCTTTTAATTTGAGGTAAATACACGAATCTAAACCTTCTAAAAATAATTCTAAGGATACCTTTTTTTAACTGTAGATGAATCCGTAAACTGAACGTCTATGAAAACCATGATGGCGACGTGTATGATTTTCAAACTTTTGTTCTGGAGCTTCCTTATAACAGTATTTATGACAGATTTAAATTATGGTCAAAGTCATTTGGTAACGGACACTTTTTCAAGACAAAAGGAAACCGTTCTACTAAAGGAAATACTTCAACTTGTCAAAAACCAAGCAGAGAAAATGCAAACCTTAGAGAGAGAGCTTACATCTATGAATGATAAACTCTCTAAGTGTAAGTATCTAAAGATTTTTCTTCTAAACAAAACTATGTAATTATAACTTCGTCAATATTGTAAATGTGAATCATAAAGCAATGAGTGGCAATCTAGCATCACTGTAGACAAAAAAGGATTAAAAAAAATATGAAATAACTGCTTGATTTTTATTTTTTTTCTCCACTCAAAGCTGTAACACATTTGTGTCTACGCTTTTGTCTGCAAAAAGTTTGACTTGTAACATGCAATATAGGCCTATACTTAACTTATTTATAAAGTTATAAAGACTTTTTTAATATCTTAATAAAATCAGTTTTCGTCAGAGGTAAGAATGTAACATGAACTTTAATGTATTAACTCAGTATACATACAGGTATATGATGACATGCTTATGTTTAATATATTTCGTTTCAGGCCTTTCCATATCAAGATCATTTCCTTCTGGACGCCATGGTAAAAAAAACTATCAGTTTTACATCAAATTACTGAAGCTTTAATTTTTAGACCTTATTTCACTTCATATTTATCAATAAAAAACTATACTGAATACTACGTAAGGATTTGATTTCATCAGTTTTTTTTTTCATTTTTTTTAATTTTTAACAGATAACTGTAGTTTCTAAAATACACCACTGATTGTTAATTCTTTGGTCTACACCATGACTCCTTTTTTACAAAATTTCAAAATTTCTTACTCAATATTTTTACCCTGTCAATAAGTTTATGAGAGAAATAAATCATTTTATATCTTCATAAATGATTCACATACTATAGACAATCTTTGTCACGCTTAAATGCCTATATTATTTATAATACACGTTGTTTTATTTGTACAATATATCGAAAGTTATAATCATCATTATTTAGCATCGTTATCATCATAATTGCCATAAAATGTCTATAAACATACATATAACTATAAACATCGTCATTTTTTGTGTAAAATTATATCATTATCAGTCATTTTCATCATTAACATTATCATTATAAAAGAAAACGTGCCAAAGAAAAGATTTAAAAAAAAAATAGATTCGCAGAAAAAAAATCGTGCTAAAGACAACTGTAAATCAACCTGAGAAATATCATGCATTTTCCAAATTGCAATAAAGATTAAGCCATGTAACGTTCTCTTAATTTTAGAGTTATTGGCTTTCATATCTTTCAAAAGACAATGATTTCCTTGAAAAAAACTTTTTAAGTCTATTTTTTATGAAGTTTTTCACATAAATCATTCTTGAGAATTCAAAAACATGTGATTACAAACCAGATTCTCTTTTTTTTTTTTAGAAAATAATATTATCATAAAAAGTAACGTTCAACAGTTTCTGTAATTCAAAAAACGAGTATAGTAATCCTGAACCGATTCATTTTATTTAGACGAGGAACAGCAAGATACGACAACATCTTTAATCTCAAGAGAAAAATCAACAACCCTTGAAACAAATCCAACTATGCAGTTAACATCAGCTTCTGATATACCGATTGTAAAAACGGAAGGAGAAACTGCAACTAGGCAGGATTCTTTATCAACAACAGATACAGCAACATCTGCAGGTAATATTCGCTTATTTCATTTTACACGTATTGGGAAAGCAATCTCTAATTTATTTTTTTGTTTCAGAATTTCTAATGGTTTGTTTTACTCTGTATTATTACTAAAAATATCAATAAAGGAAGGGGATTTCGAATTCGTTTAAGAATAAATAATATTTTTTTTCTTTCAAAATCCTGGTACATGTCTTTGTCCTTAATAAGTTGTCTCTCTCATTTGTGAAGTATTCTTTAGTTATGCAGCTTAATGGAGGTATGTAAAGTGCACGATGTTTTTTCGATATTGTCAACATCGCTTTAAACATACCAGTCCTCCTAATATCATAACATATTCAACATGACAATAATTCCTTTGTTTATCTCTACATATTACATTGTTTAACAATATAACGTCAGCATCTTGTTGACATTTCTTTCCCCCTTTCTGTTGTTTTCATTCTTCACATCGTCGACATCGCAATATTGATCGATACCGAGTCGACATCGTGTCAACATTGCCCTTCTTATTTTGCTTGTTTACATCGTTCACATCGACGACATCGCAATGTTGGTCGACATCGAGTCGACATCGTGTCAACATTGCCTTCTTTTTATCCTGTTTACATCGTTCACATCGTCGACATCGCAATGTTGGTCGACATCGTGTCGACATCGTGTCAACATTGCCTTCTTTTTATCCTGTTTACATCGTTCACATCGTCGACATCGCAATGTTGGTCGATATCGAGTCGATGTCGTGTCAACATTGCCCTTCTTATTTTTCTTGTTTACATCGTTCACATCGTCGACATTGCAATGTTGGTCGATATCGAGTCGACATCGTGTCAACATTGCCCTTCTTTTTTTTCTTGTTTACATCGTTCACATCGTCGACATCGCAACGTTGGTGGACATCGAGTTGACATCGTGTCAACATTGCGTTCTTTTTATCTTGTTTACATCGTTCACATCGTCGACATTGCAATGTTGGTCGATATCGAGTCGACATCGTGTCAACATTTTCTTTTTCAACATCTAACTCGCTTCATGAAATATGCCGGCGTGAAGCGTCGTAGTTCATAATTTCATGAATCTTCAAAAATTAGATTCATTTCTTAAATAATAACAATGTAGACGACGTAAACGCGATATCAAATCAAAGTTGTCAACATTGCGATGGCGACGTCGACGATGTCGTCATGTAGCAATAATAACAATGTAGACGATGTAAACGCGATATCGTATCGACATTGTTTACATTGCGATGTCGACGTTGACGATGTTGTCATGAAGAAACAATAACAATGTAGACGATGTAAACATGATATCGTATAAACATTGTTTACATTGCGATGCCGACAATATCGAATTGATTAAGGGAACCGGACATGAATGGCTTAATGTCCGGACATGCCACATTTTGGTTAAAAGAGCAAAATGTGACTTTGTGCTTTAGTATGCCTTTTAAAAATTTTTAAATATGAATAAAGTTTTTTTGCTGCAAAGTGTTTTAGGACATTTTGAAAAAAATGGAACGTGGGTTGATCCAAAAGTTCGCAGAATTTCTATTTAAAATTTTATCTTAATTGTTTGAAAGCAATCAATTGACATATGTATAAAAATAAGCTACATTACGAGGGTCATTCAAAAAATACGTAGACAATGCTTCTCATCGTCATATGATTATTACAAGATTATAGATCAACACATTTTCGTAAACTTAAACATTTATGTTGTCAAAGTGTGAAGTTTCATTCCATTTGATTAAACAGAACTCACGTTAGCTAAAATTAAAAGCAACATGTTTTGTTACCACGGAGCACGGTTTACCAATATTGTAACGTCAAAAACAACGCTGAGAAAATTTGTCAAAAGTATACACATTTTTGTTATTTCAAACACGGTTTATTGCGTCTTCTCCATTCGAAACACATATCCACAATACTTAACACCTGGTTTGCTAACAATTGTACAAATATAGCTTGAATTAGAATGTTATTGTTTTCAAATTCTTTGATTTACCAAGCAACTTTATTATTTCTGCAACATTGAAGCACACATCATGTTCAATGACGTTCCTAACTCTTTTGACAATATTTTTAACTTTAACCTGTTTCTTTGCAGACAATCCATCGTCCGATTAAAACTCGCTACCACTCAAAAATTTAATACAAATACACTTATTTTTTTTTTCATACAGATCCTGATTTATAAGGATTTTTTAAGCTTATAGAAAAAGTTTCCTGAATGTAAAGTCTAATTTTATTGCTACTTGCTGCTCCGTGACGTCCTCCAACGTCATGGTTTTTTGCCTTTTTCAATCAATTCCATATGTATTTAGAAGCTGATATCTTCTAAATGGAACGAGCTATTACATAACCTGATTTCATTTTAATTCATACAACGATACTTTATTTAAACATGTAGATTTTATTTCGTTTCAGCTCCATTTATTAGAGGTATAGCTGTAAATACTATAAAGTGAAAATAAGAAAATTACTCAATTTTGACGGTCTCCGTGACCCCATTTTTGCTGTTCTAAATCATTGGTAATTTTAATAATTATGAGTATACATTTCAATTTTTTTACTCAAATTATTTGAATCTGTTGTTAAAATATTTGTGCCAAATTTGGATATAATATGACGTTAAATAAAAAAGTTAGGACAAAAGTCTGCGAATTTTTTGAATGACCCTCGTATATCAATAAAGGAAAATTTCTTCATGTTCTGATTACCATAAAGGCCATACGAGCATTCTTAATATGGACAGTTTAAAAAAATTCTAAGGAGATTTTGACGTAACGTCGAGTTGGGTTTGTAACGTCACCATCTTGTAAATATCTACTTAAACATTCCAGAGAATTGTGTATTTTCCCCATTCTTTCCTCAAAAAAGATTTTGTATCCTCTTGTACTTACATTCCTTCTGTTAAAGTTATTTCTAAAATGCAATCTTAAGCTTTCCACTGATGTTCAGATGTTAATTGTATTGTTAAACACAGTATGTCAATGGTCCTTGGCCATTAAAGCTTTATTTTTCAGTGAAGAAAAACATATTTCAGAAGGAGTTCACAGTTAACCTACTCCATGGGAGGTTTACTTTCCTTAATTTTTTACCCCACTGGAAAACAAGTCCCTTTGCTTGTCTGTATCAGATCAGTAGTATCTGCGTTTACGCGTAATATACGTTTATAATATGACTGAATTTTGACATTGAGATGATTAACGGCAAATCGTCAATTACAATAAACTACAAAATAAATATCCAGTAAAATTTGATAATTTCTCACACGAAGGTTTATAATAGGTTTAGCAATTGTTCCTCGCTTTTAGATTTAGGATTAAAATTAAAATGAACGATTAAATTTTTCCAACGCTTTTCATGCATAATAATGAACAAAATACGCAAGTAAAATGATAATTATTTTATTTTAAATGTAAACAAGTATTTCATACAGTTTTTGGGCTATTGATTCAACCTGTGCACATAGAGAACTAGGAGCCTAGCGTTTGTTTACATTTTTCTTCACTTTTGTAAGCTGCACAGTATCTAACGTTCATCCTTATTTTTTTGGGTAGATCTTTGGTTAAATTTTCATGATAAACTTTTATTTTATCTTTTAATTTTACTCACGATAAATGTATAAATCTGTTGAAAAATATCATTGCAATCATGCCATGAACAGCTGCCAAACACATCGGCATTTTCGTAGTTCAATGTAAAGCTGTCGCCAGTGTCTCCGTCTTTATCAGTATTTTACGATACGTATGCCTTTAGTTAGTGATCAAATTGAAAATTAACTGGCTCGGACAAGTGTCTCAATCCATTGGATCCATCCATCCCTTTCCGGCGACCGAAATTCCTCAAACTTTTTATCATCAAACTTCGGACGCGTTTCTTGTGTCTTTTCAGCATCGATTAACATTTTTCACGAATAAGAATATTCCCAGACAGCAATCTGTTCACTATTACTGATCACAAGTAGCCTTTCACAAAATATTCCCTTCGAAATAGATTCCTTAGCTTAATGCATTCGAAGCGTAACCGCCATGCAAGCCGATTTACATCTTTCGTCATTTTTCAAAATCTACGACGGGCAGTCAGTGCAATAATTAAAATTCGAAAATATTCAAACTTGTTATTTATAACTTATATATACATTTGAGACAGACAATTGGCCTTCACAGAATTTGATCACGTGACCGACCCACTTCAATTCCCATTGAAGTTTATAAACTTGTTATTTATTTCTTAATTAAGCGATCGAATATATTAAGAGTAAAGCTTGAACCTTCAGAAAAATAAAAGCACATGTTACACTGTGTATAGCGGATACATTAATGCCCATAAGAAACTACGGACATTGGAAGATTAAAGAACACAAAGAAACATTAATAAGTATTTTTTTGCATGTCTAATCTTTTCTTTTTAAGAAGTATAATTTCATGTTTATAATCAAAGAACTTGCATTCTTTTTCTTAGCTGCAAAACTGTAGCTCTCCCGAAAAATATATTGACAGACCGGAGAGCTACAGTGCCAACCATTGAAAAAAAAAACTGTATATTTATTGCGCACAAAAATTTGCGCTTGATTCTGGATAAATTCTTTTAAACTCTTACCTCAATTGCCAAAAAGGTGATTTTATAGAAATTTCTTACATACCTTTCTATCAAGTGCTCTCGTAGTTGACATCTGCACGAAGCCCTTTTGACCGAATTATATTGCAAACAAAAAATAAGAAGATTTATTTTTATCTGGCAAACAATTTTTTTTTTCGATAATCTCACTTTCAGGGCCAGGAGGGCTATTTAGTATTAACAATAATAATAAGGAATGTTTTGTTGTTGAAACAGCGAAATAATATCTTAGGATCACACGGTTTGTAATATTTTGAGATGAAATTTTGAAGAACATGGAGAAATAAATGGAGAAACAGCGCACTTTTTTGTGCGCAATAAATATACAGCTTTCCAAAATAAATTTGTTAAAATTATTCCTTCCTATCCACAACATAGGATTTTTACTCTTTTTTCTTTATCTAATATTGTTCAGATAAAATGATATAGAATAATATAAATAATATAGAAAAATATGTAATAACCGAGAAAAAGTTACATTATACTGTTTATTCTGTGACATTAACGAAGCCAAAGAGACAGTTCAGGCTTTCTAGAAAGCCACACTTGTCCTTCACTACTATCAATATCATGATGAGGAGTAAGGGAAGAGGCTTGATTAAACATTTACTGGAACCTGCAATATATTTTTGTTTTTTAAGGATTCTTATGAAGTTTAGTAATCCAATCTATCTATCTATCTATCTAAAATCCTGCGACTTTTCATGAAGAAATTCTTCAAAATCATATATACACACACACACATATATATATATATATATATATATATATATATATATATATATATATATATATATATATATATATATATATATATATATATATATATTCCATCCGTGACCTTGTATCTACTTGATAGATCCGACATTTAGGATATACAGTGTTGTTGGTTTTTTAGTGCTTTATATATTATATATATATATATATATATATATATATATATATATATATATATATATATATATATATATATATATATATATATATATATATATATATATATATATATATATCAAATATAAGGATGATTTTGAAGAATTTCTTCCTAAGAAAGGGAAGTATGGGTATAAGTAGGATTAGTACTTGTAGAATTAAATCCAAGTTCTTCTGAAATACAATTTATATAATGAGCCTTACAAACGACGACAATGTTGTTACCGTTGCTTTGTTGGCAGGGACCAATACGTACTGATTATGTAATCTATCTTATTCTGTTTTCACTTCTGGATTATTGAACACAGAAGAATAGATGGTTTTCATATTACCCCTTAATCTTTTAATACGCGACTTTAACATGGATCTGATACATTTAATCCATTTTGACAAAGATTTAACGTCTTCTTTTTCATATCTAACTCATCATCGTAAGTTTCAACAGAATCCATAATATTTATGATATTCCGAGTTGAAGGATCGGGGTTCCCTATATCCAAGACCTTTAAAAATAATTGATCGAAGGTCCTCGTTATTAACTATATTTACGGCACCTGTACTAACGTGTCCAGCAGGAATATAGTTATAGGGCGAAGAAGAACATGAACATGATGCAGAATTATGTTTTAGGTACTCGGTATCAAGGCCATGTAAATTTTTCTTTTTTTGTAATTGAAAAGTTTAGATGCAATGGACAATTTACGGGTTAACGGATTTTCTTTTCATCATTATACCTCTCTATAACAGAGAACATTGACCCTTAGCTAACATTTCAGTATTCGTACCTTAAAGTTCAAAGTGGAACATTTGTTTTGTCAACAACAGATGCATCACAGTCAGGCTTAATTGGATATGGTCACCAAGGCACTGGCGGTTACAATTTTGCTTGGAATTCTATTTACCCATAAAATGTTAGGTCACCTGTGTAGGGTTTAGAGTATCTGCTTTAGAGTTGCAAAGTAAGGGGTTGGTCCTTAGGTAGCGGGTTCGAATCCCACTATGGGATATGGAGACAAGTCCTTCGAATGAGACTGTAAAAACCGAGGTCAATTGTCGCAGGAGGTGCTTGCACTAAAAACATCCCTTCCTGCTCAATGGACTTAAGTGTCGAGAAAAGGACGAAATAGGCCGAATTAATTCTCCATCGGCAAGTGATGGCGTCTCCATATGCGTGAAAAAATATAGAGAGAGGGACGTTAAACGTAATCAATCATAATATGTAAGAATGAGGCATGCTCATTAAGAAAATTAAATAAGCCACACCAAATCTGATAATTCATCCTGCCTCCTTTTAAATTGCAATCTTTCTACTTCAAAAATTGCATTTAATGCAGTCCGCTATCATAATCATTACATGCATCCTTAAACTGAAAGAAACCGATTGTGCAATTTGGGTTTTTAAGATGGTCAGTTTACGTTGGTTTTCCTCTCAATAGCGCATGCACGCGGCGGATGCCTACTTTTCAGTATGTTTTCCCCTGACCCGGTGAATTCAGGGTTTGTCCAGACTTTCTCGCAAACAATCACATTTACCCACTTGACTTGTCTCCGTAAAGTTCATTTTCTCATTGAATGTCTGTTGGACCTAGTGAATGATAGTCTTCGAAATGCACACGTTTGTCTCTTTCAACCAAGGGCTCTCTTGTTAAAAGGGCTGGATAATATCTTTATTTCAAGAATAAACACATTAAGGATCTCCATGCGAAAGCAAATCTAGGCTTTGTCAGATACGCAAATGAGAATTTTAACTTTATGAGATTTTTCGATTGTTTGTCGGGGGTATTGTCATATGAGTTTCAATTAGTCAGGAAATATAAGACAAAGTAAAATAAAATTTTAGTTACATTTTAATTAAAGATTATTTTAAACGTTAGATAGGAATACGTGTACTAAATATACATTATAAGAAATAAAATTAATTTTCTCAAAATTTCATCCTGAGTTTCTTTTTCCTTTCGGTATATAAAGATTCATTGAAGTCATATCCCAACGAAATCCAAACAAAATGTAAAAATTCAAAATTGTTATACGATTCTTTTCTAATATCATATAAATAATAGTGTATCGGGCCTGATGCAAGTTTTGGACTAGGTGAGACAGCATCTTGGAACTACGGCGATATCCCTGTCTTAGAACAATGTCAAGGACTTGTTTCATTTTATAATTTATTTGTTTATTGACAAAATAATTTGCACGTCGAATTTATCTTAAAGAATTAGCTGAAATATAGAAAGCTTTATTATACTATCATGCAATAAAAAATATGCAAAGTTCACAGAATTTTTCCTTATGGCTGTGTTGTATTCTTTGCAGGTAATAAAGGAAAAGAATTCATTATCCTGTTCATGCGAAACATCAACGACGCTGAAAATCCCGTAACTGTCTATATAACAACAGAACATAACACGTCTGTCAATATTTCTACTTCAGCTCATTTAAATTCGAGCATTAAGGCAGCAACAGACAGAATAATGAATGTTTCATCTTTTTCCAAAATAATGCTCTCTAGATATCTGACTTGTGATTATCTAAGAATAGAACCCAAGGCTGTACTAATACAGACATCTGAATTATCCACTGTTTCTATATTTGATAGTTCTTATAAAACATATTCTAACGATGGGGCAATGGTTATTCCAACCAACAGACTATCAATGAAATATCTAGTTTCCTCAACGAATCCAGACAGAACCCGTAGTTATTTATCTAGCCAATTTGCTGTCGCAGCATTATATGAGGTAACGAGTGTAAATATAAGATTTAATATAAAAAAGAATACTTCTCTTTCCCTTCTCGGTAGAACATACAGAGACAACGATTTATTAACTATAATTTTAAATAAATATGAAACTTTGCAAGTAATGCACACCACGGATCTTACTGGAACATTTATTGTGTCGACAAAACCTATATCGGTATTCTCTGGAAATCGATGTCAGTTTCTAAAAAACGGATGTAGTCACATGATGACGCAGTTACCCCCAACCACCGAATTTGATAATAGATACATTGTACCCCCATTCTATGGTGAATGGGGGACATTGATACAAGTGATAAGTGAAAGACAGAGTTCCATTAACATCAGTGTCGGAAGCACAGTATCAATGTGGCACATGCAAGAAAAAGAATTCAAAAACACAGAAGTGACAACAGATGAAACAACGATTATAGAGTCAACTAATCCCGTCTTAGTTACTGGTTTTGGAATGGGTTCCAGCAATAACGATCCTTACATGACAGTCATGCCCGGTGTCCATCAATATATCGACAACTACAAGATTGTTATTCCAGACGGATATAGAGATAACTATATTTGTGTGATAATTCCGGAAAAGTCTAAAAATTACCTTCAGATAAATGGTATCCCGATTGAAAGTAATATCACTGTGCGTCTAAGCTCTGCAGTTTTGGATACCATATACAGCATTTATACATTTAAAGTGAACAGTGGGGCAAAAGTTTTATCGACAACTAATAATGCAGCATTCGGGTTAATTGCCTACAGTCACAGACATTCCGATGGATATGCATTCGCTGGCAACTATGTACTTCCGTAAACGTTTGTTAATACCATGCTTTATTCTTAAAAATGAGAAAAAAAAATGTGCAATTAATTGCAATTAAGCTGCTAACATCATGGCACGCGAGTCATTATTTTATTAAATTCGCAGAAAGACTAGGTGTCAGTTTGTATTAAGATATTTTAATTTATGTATAGAAAGCGATGGAAATCAAGCAACAGTATCTTATAATAGTACTAATATGATGACAATGGAATGATGTTTAACTTAAATGAAAATTATTTTATCATAAAAGGGAACTGTTGTCTGGATAAGTCGGAATGGGCTGATTCTCTGATGCGTTATTCATATAATTTACAAATCATATTATTTAATATGTAAAGTCTATTAACACATTTAGTTTTTGCTGTAAATTAATTTTTTTTTCCCATTTTTAGATAAATTCAATCATAAAAGGCACGAAGATGCCCTAAATTCAAATATTTAAACTCCAAAATCTTATATAATGTTAATGTCTTTTGTGTTTCGAAAAAAAGATGTTGGCAATGAGATTTTCAATTATAAAGGCATAAAACTAGATCTGATGTGGCCGGATACATAGGAATAAAGGCATAATTGTTTAGTTTTAGAATATATTTTATTCAATGAATTGGATTAAACAGCAGACATAAATGCCTATGATCGTTCTCTCCATAGTTCAAGATACAATTACAAGTACATGTAATCAATGAAAAAATGTATGAAGAGTAGATTATCAATATGTATATATTTAGAATGAATTTAGAGAGAGAGAGAGAGAGAGAGAGAGAGAGAGAGAGAGAGAGAGAGAGAGAGAGAGAGAGGGAGGGAGAGAACAACATATGTTTGAATAATTGTTGTTTACCCCGAATAGGAAAAATTCCATAACAAAGTAGCTAATACCTAAATGATATATTTCACATAAAATATCATAATTAAAAGGACAAAATGAATGAAAATCATGTCTTTCTTTTCAGATATATATCTGTAGCATATAGAGAAAGACTTATCAAAATTATGAGTATAAGCTAAGATATGACAGTTAATCTGCAAGAAAAGATTGCACAGTATAAATGCCTGAAAAAACAAAGGTTGCATCTACTGATTTGTTGTTTCTTGTCAAGGTCACGCCACTTTTTTTTTAGCTCAAACTTGTAAACAACGTTCAACTGGAACATGCAAAGCTGAGAAATATGTTATAACAACTTGAGACGACCATGGTAACTGTGAAAACTCATTCAACTTTTCTGCGCAGGTGTTCAATACGTATAAATGTATTAGGGACGTTACGCACGGTGTTGATGTCACATATGGTAACGTTATAAATGACGTTTAACGTCACGTAAACGGAAAGTAAAAAGACACAAGTAATCTTTACCTATTAATCTACTTTCTTTTTAGTTGTTAAAAGTGCAGGTTTAAAATTAATGCTTAAAACATTTAGAAGCCATGTAATATAAATATATTTTGCGTTGGACATCAATTTAGTGTGTAAACACTCTTAAATCGACGCATTCCAGGATATTTTCATTTTTTTTTCTTCTGTTATAGGTGAATAATTTCGTTTTGTATCGTCTTGCACTTGGAATTTGGAACTTTGGTTACTGGGCAATTTATTAGTTTAAAGTACAACATTTTTAGCAAAATATTTTCCCTTGATGAACAAACGATCCACCTCACTTGTCTGTTTTGAGCTTTCCGTAGAGTTTACTCTTTGATGTGGCGTGTAAAAGGTAAAAGTCATTGTCATCATCCCCTGTACACAATATAGCAAACACTCTTCCTTCAGTTATGATGACAGAATTCTGATGTGTAGACTCACTATTCAATATCAGTTTAAGGAACGAAAAAAAAGATATCAAACAATAAATTTGTTCATACGCAATGTAAAAAAGAATGAAATTTAGATTTAATTTTGAATGTTTCATAGACAATATAATGCCCGGGGTGGGTAGGGGGTGTCCTTTTTCAAGGTACATGTGAAAAAAAAAATATCATTAATGATTATCTCCCTAAACGGAGTTGGTGTGTTGGGGGTTGGTATGGTTTTTTTTTTTAACAATTAGGTACTTTTGCTTTTGAGAGAGAATGCGCGTGTGTGTGTGAGAGAGGGTGTGTGTGTGAGTGAGGTGTGTAATTATCCTCCCTATACTTATATGTTTCGATTGATAATAATATACATTATTTCTACGAGGGTTTTTTTTTGTTCTCGCTGAAATTTTCTGTACTAAAATTGTCTAATTTGTCACCTTTTTATCCCCCTTCCTAAACTTTTTAAAGCTAATTCTGCATCCCTGTGTATCGTAGTGAATCGAAAGGGACGGGAGCGTTGCAGCTAGCAATTCAACATCGATAGGACCTGTCGACAGGAAAAATTGCGTTGCGTTTTATATTGATTTCTTAAATTGAGTACCTTTTTATGAAAGCAATAAATTTTTGATTCGCTCTGTTTACATTGTCCATGGCAAATTTATACAATATCCCTTTAAGTGGTCAGGACACCCCCAACCCCGGGGGAAAAAACACCAAAAAACAAAACACACACAAAAAAATATACTTGAGAAACGAATATTGCACCTTCATTAAAGTTAGTATGTAATGATAAAATAGTAAGTCTATAAACTCTCCCATGTCTCCCAAAGAGGAAAGGGGAATATAAATGGGATGGAGTCTGTAAAAACTGTTTAAGCAGTCGGAATGTGAATTAATTTCTTCTACCTTCTTTCATTTAGTGCACCCCTCTTTATTTTATTTTACTTTTTTTTTTTTTTTTTTTTTTTTTTACAATTTTACAAACTTCTGGGTTTAACAATGAATGTGTTGACGTGTCTTAATTAAGATTAATGCAAACCGTTAACATCTGCATTTTTTTTTTCGTAGCGAGACGTCATAGCTGCAGATCACGTCAAAATCCCGTAGATGAGACAAATAAGTAGACCAATTTAACTTCTTCATTAATTCATTGAATATCAATGTTGTCGCTAAGCCAGAAAAAAAATAAATAAAAACAGGAAAGTCTAGTACATGCATATTTTCTAAGCCAATAAAAAATTTTTTGAAAACTTCTCAAGTATTTGAAAAAGTTATATTTACAGTATGTTGTTTCGTTTGTAAGGGATTTATTGTACAGAGAGACGTGGCTGTTGTGTCGCGCAGCGACGTGACGGCTACGCTTCTCTGTATAATAAATTTCTTACAAATGAATTGATTGATTGATTGTATGTTGTTTAACGTCCCTCTCGAGAATTTTTCACTCATATGGAGACGCCACCACTTCCCAGTGGAGGGCTACTAATTTTATCCTATGCTCGGCACTCAGGACCTTTGAGCAGTGAGGGTTCTTTTACGTGCCAGCATCTACTGCGACACGGGGCCTCGGTTTATACGGTCTCATCCGAAGGACAGGTCTCCACGTCCCACAGTGGAATTGGAACCCGCGACGTAAGGATTGACTCCCTACTTCGCGACTCTAGAGCAGACGCTCTAACCACTGCACCACGCGGGCGACCCTTACAAATGAAACAAAATATCTGTAAATGACTTGTGTCATGGTCATTTGCATATTCATTGAATAGCGAAGTAAACTATATAAAATCTATTTATAAATATGCAAAGTATATGTCTCTAGCTGTGCGTTGAAGCACCAAACTGCACGTGACATGACGTCATAAGTCCATACTAAATGCATAGCGTCAAAATGCGCCGGGACTTAGACCAAGATGGAGCTGGAAGAGCTTGAATAAGTGATTTAGACGATATAACTCTTTCACAAATATGTGAAGTTATTGAAAATGAGGAGTGTGCATAAGAAGGAATAATCGACATGAGTATTGGATATTTTCGGAGAACAAGAAGAAATTTTAAAAACTGAGCCACCCCCAAAACCCCCAAACGATCGGCATCTCCAGAAATCGACGAACCACTGTTGATTATATTTGAAACATTTTGCATATTTTTGATTTCTTTATCGATTTCGATGTTGTCGAATTTTGTAACATATTCTGATGTACATAATGTTTTTTTCAGTATACAGGTACAACATGTACATATCTTTTCATAAAACAAGGAGATAAAACATTGGTGTCCATATTTAGACCATTGCATTCTTGAATTGTAAGAATGGTATGTTTTCGAGTTACCTTTATTTATAACCCAGTACAGGAAACATGGGTGGAGAATTCCTTAATGTGCTGATGTGTTCGTGCTGGATTCACTGGGAACCTTTCCATATATACTACAACTGAAAATGAAAATGAAACAGAGGTCACAATTTAATAAATTCTCCAAACCTGAATACGAATCTAAAATCGTCAGTTGACAAGAAACTGAATATTACGTCCAAGTCCCATGTCAATCTTCCATTGGGTATGCAATGTGAATACTCACGGATTGAACTTGAAGGAATAATTTTACGTACATCAGAGGTGTCCAATATTACTATTTTTGACAGTCTAAATGATGGAACGAACGATGGAACACTACACAGCACAGTGAAGGTTACAGTAAGGAGGCGGGACCTAATTTGTACGGGAAATGTTTACTATGACGTCACGCATACTAGTATACAGTCTTCAAAATACCACAAAATAAAATTATTTGCTATTTCAAACAGCTGGATAGGTGTATACTACATACAAACTTACTATTACATGCAGTTTTGTCGTTTCTTAAATCCCACACAACAGTATATAAACGATGCATCGATCACAATGCACTTGTCAATGTGACGTCATCTCGCAGAAATGACGCAGTTTGTACACATTGAAAGGTTGATCAAGAAATATTTTGCACGATGAAAAGTGTCGTTTTTCCTCAAATAAAATATTATTTGCGGTAAAATAAAAAGCCATTAACTTGGATGCGATGTTTATTTTAGTATTTTATTCATAAACTGAACGTGCATTTATCAGACAAGCGACACTGTCGTGTGTTTGTATGCAGATTCATTGAAAAAGTAACGGGAGGGCCTAATAAATCAATTTATTGCAAGGGCATACCCTCAATGTATCTTGTCAAAA